GCCAAAGGAGAAAGGATAAGGATGGTATCAAAGGTACAAACAGAGGTGTTAGTTTGCCAAGAGAAAGGCCTCTTCTTCCCAGATGCAAACAAAGGAGGAGAAAGTGGAAGATAGTGCTGAGGTAATTTAAGGTACAGTACAGAATTTGGAAGAGGAAATTCATGATGGATGGTCACAATTCTTTTCAGTAAATTGTGAGGCAATTTGATACTCTAAGAGGAAGGAATAAGTGGGTGGTGAAATAACTTGAGAAAAGAGAAAGTTTAGAACATATTCTATGGCAATAAGAGAGTCATGCAGGGAAGAATAAATGGATGGCCATGCAACAGTGTTATTACATAGCAGAAATCTGTAGTGAACCCACTTATGTGGCTCCATTCATCACATCAGCATTTGGCAGTAAGCAGTAGAAAATTCAGATGATGGGAGTACTCTCTTGTGTCTATGGAAGTGTTAACGTGCTGGTTGACTCCTTTCCCACATTAGCCACGCATACAGAGTTATTCTCCCAAATGGGAAGGATTCCTGAAAGTAATCTAGGATTGGGGCTTGGAAAGGTTAGGAGGGTAAAGAGGACAAGGGACAAGGGATTCAAGAGTGAAGGAAAGTCTAGTCATACCAGACCTCAAACTGTTATAAAGCAGTAATTATCAAAACAACTTGGTACTAGTTAAGAAACAGAATGATGGATCAGTGGAATAGATTATGTACTAATTGTCTTACACTAAATGACCATAGTAATCTAGTATATGATAGACCCAAAGATCCAAGCTTTTGGAACAAAAACTCCCTATTTGACAAAAACTATTATGAAAACTGGAAAAAAGGTACAGCAGAAACTAGATACAGACCAACATCTCACACCATATACCAAGATAAGGTCAAAATGAATATATGATTTACACCTAAAAGGTGATACCATAAGCAAATTAAGAGAGCATGGAATAGTTTTATCTGACAGATTTATAGACAAGCAAAGAATTTGGGGCCAAAGAAGATACAGACAGCATTACAAAATGTAAAATAGATCATTTTGATTATATAAAATTAAAAGGTTTTTGCACAAACAAAACCAACGCAACCAAAATTACAAGGAAAGCAGAAAACCGGGGGGAGAAGGGAAATGTTGCAACAAATATCTATGATAAAAGCCTCATTTCTCAAATATATAGACAACTGAGTCAAATTCATAAAACTACAAGCCATTCCCCAACTGATAAATGGTCAAAGGTGTGAACAGGCGATTTTCAAAGAAATCAAAACTATCTATAGAGATATAAAAAAATGCTCTAAATTGCTATTGATTAGAGGAATGCAAATTAAAACAACTCTGAGGTACTACCACCTCACACCTATCAGACTGACTAATATGACAAAAAAGGAAAATGTCAACCCACATGTGCAAAAATATTCATAGCAGCTCTTTTCGTGGTGGCAAAGAATTGGAAATTGAGAGGATGCCCATCAATTGGGGAATGGCTGAGCAAGTTGCAGTATATGAATATAATGGAATACGACTGTGCTATAAGAAATGGTGAACAGGCTGACTTCAGAAAAACCTGGAAAGACTTACATGGTCTGATGCTGAGTGAAGTGAGCAGAACCAAGAGAACTCTGTACACAATAACAGCCACGTTATGCAATGACTAATATTGTTAAACTGAACCCTTCTCAGCATTATGAGGATCTAAGACATCTCCAGAGGCCTCGGGATAGAAAATGCTGTCCACATTCAAATAAAGAACTATGGAACTCGAATCGCTATCACTTATTTTTACCTTCTGTTGAGTTTTATTTCATCTTTCTGATGGTTCCTCCTATTGGTTTTAATTTTTACTTACAACTTCACTAATGTGAAAATATGTTTAATGGGTATGCAATATCAGATTGTGCACCATCTTGGGGAGGGTGGGTGGGAGGAAGGGGGAGAAAAATTTTCAACTCAGCATATGGAAGTGATTGTTGATAAATCAAAATACATTAATAAAATTTAAAAAAGAAAAAAATGTCAGATGTTGAAGGGGACATGGGAAAAGCTGTGACACTAATGCACTGCTGGTGGAGTTGTGAACTGATCCATCCATCCTGGAGAGCAATTGTAACTATACCTAAAGGGCTATACAACTGTGCATACCTTTGATCCAACAGTACCACTACTAGGTCTATATCACAAAGACATCCAAAAAAAAAGGGAAAAGGACCTTATTTGTACAAAAATATTTATAGCAGTTCTTTTGTGTGGTGGCTAAGAATTGGGAATTGAGGGAACGTCCAATTGGGGAATGGCTAAATAAGCTGTGGTAATGATTGCAACGGAATATTATTGTGTTATAAGAAATGACAAGCAGGATGATTTCAGAAAAAACCTGGAGAGACTTACATGAACTGATGCCTAGTGAAGTGAACAGAACAACAAGAATGTCGTACACAGTAACAGCAATATTGTTTAATGAAGAACTGTGAATAACTTGGCTATTCTCAGCAATGCAATGATCCAAGACAATCCTAAGGTGGTAATAATGAAGCATACTATCCGCCTCCAGAGAAAGAAATGATATTGTCTGAATACAGACTGAAGCATGCTATTTTCTACTTTCTTTCATTTTTTTCTTTCATTCGAGTCTTCTTGTACAAAATGACTAGCATGAAACTCTTTTATATATTTGCACATGTATTACCTATATCTGATTGCTTATTATCTCATCGAGGGGAGGAAGGGAAGAAAGGAGGAACAGAATTTGTAACTCAAAACTTTAAATAAAAATATTTTTTTAAAAAAAAGAGTAAAGGAAAATATAGCTGACCTGGAAATGCAGCCAGGACAGGGAAGATGGATTGGGACACCAGGGAGTGAATGTAGTACATAGAAATTGTAATAAAGACAGGATAGATTTAGAAGGGTATGTTACAGTGAGAGATGAAAGAGATTATTTATGATCAGCTAAAAGAATTTCAGATTTATGAGCTGTAGAGATTAAACGACTGTGGGTGATGTTGAGAGCAAAGATATAATCAACCATACCCATGTACGGCTGGGGTGGAATGAAGACAAAAATCATGAGAATTTCAAAAACTGATGAACTAGGAAGCAAAAATATTTTTAAGGACTGCACCCAACTAGCACTGACATTAATTGCTTTTATATTTGTCAATTTGATAAGTAGGCCTCACTTGTTATTAAAAACCTGAAGGTTGAATAAAGTTCTTGCTATGGTTATATATAACAAGAAATCTTGTTGATTTTAACATGTATGGAAGACACTTTGTGGAGAAGAATCTTTACTGTAGCATTTACTAAATCAAATACTTGCTTGTAGTCAAGCAATAAGGACAGAGGAGTATTATATTCTCTGTATCTTTTAGTCAATTACGAAACTATAAAGATGTGCCCTGCTGTATAATGCTGTTTGCAAAAGCCTGCCTGTTCCCTTCATCAAGGATGCCCTTGATACAAGTATCGAATGTTTGCATAAAAGACTATAGCAATTAACTAAAGAAGCAAAAAGGTCAATAGTTTAAGAGTTTCTCAATTACCTTTCTTCAGAAATATAATCTGTAACTTTTTTAGATCTCTTGCCAAGTCACAGATTGTTCAATACAGCATATATAATCAAAGAGGTTATCCCTAAATATGGTGAGGTTCTCCAGATACTCCTGTTCTCCGGTACTGAAAGCTTACAGCCCCAAGAATGGAAGAGCCTCCTAAATGACATTCATAATGAATCAACAGTTTGGCCTATCAATATAAACCAAGTAGGTAAAGGATGTCTATTGTCCAGATTATGAAATACAGTTGGATGAACAGCCTATAGACCTAGGATGGTTACTGCAGAAAAACAAGGCTGTCTTTCTTGGAAAATATTAAGAGATCAGGCTAGATTAGATTGCCTCTCAGAAAAATGTGCAGTGGTTTTAATAACCCCAAGCATCTTCCTAAAACAAAAGCCTATCTTTTCAACATTAATATTCTTCCACTAATACTGCACGGCTATGAAAAATATAATAAGAGTCTCTAAAGAATTAAAGTTTCAAATCACCCAGAGAGCAATAGACAGATACCACATTACCAAACAATAACTGCAAAGAAATAGTGTAACGGTATCACCAGAGATGTATACTCAGGAAAGCAGGTAGGCCAATTACGAAGGTTATCATGGGATAGCCAATAGCACGTGCTCTACTGGTATCTATACAACACCATGCACTCTGGAAAAAAGTCTCCCAGGCTATTAGGAGAACTCCCAGTTACGGATTTACAGAGGGACGCTGGCTGCACAAACTGCCAATACAGATGAGTTCTGAACACCCACACCAATGAGACTGGAGATCCATGTAAGTGCTAAAAGGCAGAAATGAGGGGCCAGACTATCCCAGGCATGGAGGCACGAGGGACAGACACAGCAAAGACAAGAGAGACAGGAGACAGGAGTGTCAGGTGCAAGGAACAACAAGCAGGCAGTAGAGCTAAATCACACAGAACACAGAGAAGAGTGACGTACGAAACGACGGGTAAGGCAGGAAAGGGACAGACTGTGAGGGGCTTTGAATGCCAGAGGATATTTATATTTCACTCCAGAGGTAATAGGAAGCAACTGAAGTTTACTGACTGGGAGGAAGGGGGAGGGTTTAACACGGTCAGACTTGCACTCTAGGAAAATCCCTTTGATTGCCAAGTGGAGGACGAACTGGATTGGGGAAAGGCAAGGCAGGAAAATGCATCAGAAGATTAGAGGGCTGTGGCAGCAGTATTCCAGGCAACAAACTGGCATGTTAGTTCTACGAGTAGAGGGAAGGCAAGAGAACAAGCATTTATATAGCCATCTACTATGAGCCAGGCACTATACTAAGCACTTTACAAACATTATCTCATCTGATTTTCACAACAACTCTTTCAAGTAAGTGCTGTTATTTTTAACACTTTAAAGCTGAGGAAACTGGGGCAAACAGAAGTGCTTGTCCAGGGTCACACAGCTAGTCGGGGGCCGAGACCAGGTCTGAACTCTGGCCTTCCTGATTCCATGGCCACAGCTCCATCCACTGCACCACCAAGCTGCCCTAAGAAGATTTATAGGAGAGATGTGAAGATAGAAACCACAAGATTTGTCAACTGATAAGGTATGTGGGATTAAGTGAAAGTGAAGAGTTGCGAATGACACCAAAATTGCAACCCCCATTACCTGGAAGAGTGGTAGAGCCCTCAATAGTAATAGGAAAGTTTAGAAGAGCAGGAGGAATTTGGGGAGAAAGATAATGATATCTTTTCTGGATACTGTTATTTTGAATGCCTAGGAGACAACCAGTTTGAGAGTTAAAAAAAAGACAACTGGGACATAGGGACTGTGGCTTGGGAGAGAGACTAGGGCTAGATATTACAGATATGAGAATCATTTCCCTAAAGATGATAAATGAACCCATGGAAGCTGATAAGATCAGCACTTGAGATAATACAGAGCAAAAAGAAAAGAGGCCACAGGACAAACTACAGAGAGACCCCAAGTGAAGAAACTCCTACTGATGTAGGCCCATTAGTCAATCAGTCAGTCAATAAGCATTTAAGTGCCTTTTCATTTTCTTTGTAGTACATAGAGGTTTTATTTCTTCATTTGTTTGTTTTTTAAACATAGAGACAAAGCATACTTTTTAAAAAGTTACCAGAGCAGTAAGGGGTTAAGTGGCTTGCCCAAGATCACACAACCAGTATGTGCAAGACATAGGTAGGACTTGAAGACATAGTTCTTCTTGCTTCCCAGACCAGTTCTCTGTTTATTAACTTCTCTTTACTAAGTTTACCTCATTCCTAGTGCCCTCAGCCCATCCCCTCCTTGTCTTCAATCTCTGTGTCTACTCATTTCTTTCCCATTGTCAACTGCACAGGCATCACACGTTCTCAAACCTTCATTTACCATGCTCTCAAGTTAGCATCCCTATGTGACTCTTCCCTTTCTCTGCCCGACTCCTAAAAATGTCACACTCATACGCTGTCTCAAACTTCCTCCGTCACTCACTTGTCAGCCCTTTGCTATCTGGCTTCTGACCCCATCACTTGACTGAAACCTCAATCTCAAAGATTACTGATAATCTAAACCAGAAGTCAGCAAACTACAGACCCAGCTGTTTTTGTACATCCCTTGAGAATTTTTAATTAACTTTATTGTATTTAAAAATGCAACAAGGCAGACTTCTGATCTAAATGCTAAATCCTTTGAACTTTTCTCAGTCTTCACACTTCTCAACTTCTCCACAACTCTGTACGTTATTGACCAAACCTTTCTCCAGAATATTCAAGTCAATAAACATTTACTAAGAGCTAAATACATACATGGCACTGTGATAGTCACTGGGTACAAAGACAAAACTAAACAGCCTTTGCTCTCAAAACACTGGAGGTAGATACAACACAAAAACAGGTAAGTAAACACAAAAGAACATACAAATTTCAGAAGGGGGAGAGAGCACTGACACTTCAGGAGAAGAGGAAGAGAGCTGAGGAAAGGTTATCAGAGATAGAAGCGAGGCAGAGGTGAGAAAATACTGTCTCCTCCCTTTGTTCCTGTGACTTTGTTCTGTCCTGTTCTTCCTCCTACTTGTCTCACTATTCCTTCTCTGTTCTTAGGCTAGATCAGCATTTCCCACCCTACAAACAAGGGTGTTCCCAGGACAGAGAAGAAAGCAAAGCCCTCTTTTCAGTTTTCCCCTCTACATTCAACTCCTTACTGTTCTCATTAATCACTTCTCTCTACACCCAATATTCCCAAGTCTATAGAACCATTCCTGATTTCTCCCCAGCTTTAATACTGCATCATCATCTGGCCTCAGACACCCAACACTCACTAGCTGTGTGACTTGGGGCAAGTCACTTAACCCCAATTGCCTCACCAAAAAATAAATATAAATAAATAAATAGATGCTGCATCATCAACTGCCTGGTAAATATCTCCACCTAGGTGTCCTACAGGCATCAGAAACTCAACATGTCCAAAATAAAACTGATTATCTTTTCCTTCCTGCCCATCATCCTCCCAATTACACTTGCTCTTCCTTCCAAGTCTACCTAATTCTGTTGAAGGTAACCACCATCCTCCCATCTTCTCAATTCTTAGGGTTTTTTTCCCCCTAGCTCTCTCAAATTCTGAAATTTAATAATTATTTACCTTGGAAGGGTATAGTTAGAATTTCTCCATACTGGACTATACAGTTTCTACTTGTGTGTTACTATCCATTTTTGACTGCTCTGGAAGTTCTCTAAAATTAGTTACTCAAAATACAATATTTAACTTTTCTTCTTTTTCAGTGTTTTAATCTAGAAGTCCAATTACATTAAGATTTGTGCTTCCTTCTGTTTTCCAAATCTGTATGGAAACATACAGATGCATGACATCTCATGAATATCTATCTGTTGGTTGCTTTTTAAGACCTATTACATTCTAAGATTGTTCTTTAATTTTATTTTTATCCATTTAACGCTCTTCACTCTATTTTGCTAGTTGCTATTCCCTCTAACGTTTTTCGTGTTCAGGTACAGTACTAGTTTATATTTTCTAACTGTTCTTTCATCTCTTCTCAGAGAGATACATACAAATATATACATACATAACTATAATATCTTCTTTTATTGAATTACAGACTTCCTTCAATTATTTTAACATGTTCATTATCCAATTTGTTTTATCCTTTGGTACTTCCATCCCAACCAGCAATGTTTCAATTTGAGAAAAGCCTTAAGGCTAAGGAATCTGGACTCACATACGTACACACACATGTGGTGTATATGCATACAGACATAGACACATGTACATGCACATGTGTGTATACCCTGTGTCACGTGTGTGCGCACGTGTCACTTATATGTACCATGTGGGTGCATGCATGTTTCTATATACATATGAAGATATACACATATATATCTCCCTATAATCCACTCACTTTAGGAACATTCTATTCTCTTATACTTCTGATATAAGTCACATGCTTTCAGGAAAAAACAGCAACAAGATAGTCAAAAGAAAAAGGTGGCAAGAATCATTTAAATTTTATCAGAAAATTTGGTAGGACATTTCTGTCATTATAAACCCAACTCCTTTCATTTTTCATAGTACCATGTACAATGCAATGTGAAAGCCTCCCAGCTGAATATAATGAATCCTGACATCTGAATTTTCCCAAAGTACAAGTAATATCAGCTATAGTAATGGCCACACACATCATTCTTTATGTTGCATGACATCTAGGTCTGTTTTAAACAAAGCCTGCTGTTCCACAGTTCAATTAAACATGCAGAGGAAAAAAGTAATAAAGAAAAAATGCTTTCAACAGAAAAGACCTTATCCACAAAGCAGTATCACAAAGTGACCTTTACAACTTACAATATATTTTCCTATAGCAAATAGAAGAAATGTAAAAGAAAAATCTAGTATTTTACCTTTAATTCTCAAAGGAAAGGAGAAAATATACTGTGACAAAGTGTAATATGCTAAGTCTTAATATTTTATTCTGACATGATTTATCAGGGCATTTTAAGTTCTAATATTCTGACCCTTAAGTATTATAATGGCCTTACTAGGATCACCTTAACTTTTAAAAGAATTTAACGCATACACTCTATATTTCAAAGTTTACAACTTAAAATATTTGAAATGTTAATGAATGTATATAATAGTTTAAATATATAAACAAAAAATAATTAGTATTTAGAAAAAATGAACACAAGTTGCTAAAAATTACACGAATGGCTGCCTGCTCAGGATTCTTTGACTATATCTGCTCAATAAAAATGAGTTTTCACAGTATTTCACTGGCAAAGGGATGCTATCATTTAATTTTCAAGTTTTAATAATGAAGTCAAACTTACTTCTCCATTTTGAATTAAAGAAGATAGTGACCTGGCTTCCAAATGGCCTGAAAGTTTAGCTACAGAATAAAAGCAACATGGTTATTTTTAGAGCTCTACAGGCATAAAAATACAGCACTAAACTGTGACCTACAGCTATGCACAGCAAAGCATCACATCATGCGACAGTCTTAACTTTAGCTAGGAGCACATCTGTAGTTGCTTCAGACTACTGTTATTCATCTCACTACCAACAATATATTTGCGAGCATTTTGAAGCAAATATCTGTATCTGTACCTACTTGTTTCAGATTGCTTCCACAGGCAAAACTACATTCAGAAGGCAGGAGATCTGAATGGACTTCATGGAGAATAAAGTCAGTCATATTTTTTAATCAAACAAAATGAAATAAGTGCAGCTTCATCAACAAAGAAATCAAAAGCATATTCCCAACAGAGAAAGTAATTTATCAAGAACTCAGTGTAAAAGGCTAATTAAATAAGACAGGCCGCTTCTCTCAACAGTGGACACATCTAAGAGAACAGGATATAACTGAACAAAATCTCTACTTCAAGCAAAACTCCTTTGAACCACAACCACCACACACTGGACAGTAACAACTTAACAGGTATGTTTTCATTTTTTTCTTTATAAAACACAGATCAAAAAAGCCTGTTCTTAGGTAATCCTCTCCTACACATTGAATCTTACTTACTAGTACTCATGGTAGTAAATATTACCAATTATTTTAGAAGTTGTTAAACTGGAATAATTCTAGTGGGTAAAAATGTTTAGCTGTACTAACAACATATTCATGAGAACAAAATATAAGTTTATCAAGTTTTTAAGCTCTCTTACCTGTTACCTGTTGGCCAAAACCTGGCTATGTATTGGAAGATTTCATTATTTACTCTTTCCAATTTTATTTTGAACTTGTACAATGAAATATTACTCTATGACAAATATACTGCAAATTTATCAAACACTTTCCAACTCTACCCTAGAATGACTCTAGAGTCTATTGTGCAAATAATAAATGTATATGATTTTTCCAGATTATAAAATGCCACTTTTTAGCTGGATGAAGTGGTCAAAAAGAGAATCCCATAAATCCACACACTATCCAGGCTCAGACGTAGTAACAAAGACCCTACTTCGGGAACTCACATGGCACCTAAAAGAACGTGACAGATTAATACAAGAGATTGAAAATGAACAAAAAGTGAAAAAAACTGGCGTGGATTACAACTGGCTAAAAAACTACCAAAATCCCCAAGCAACCATCCCAGCTACTGAACAAAGACAGCTTGAAGCTCTCTGTTCACAAGTTCAACCTTGCCAGACTGGAACTATTCTCAGCAGGTATAAATTCCTTTTTTTAGATGTTTACAGACGTTAGTCTTAAACTCCTTATTTACTTAGACTGGAAATTTTAAGCAATTATGTAAATTATTTAGCTGTATTTATCAAACAAGATAGCAAGCATAAAGACCCTATAGACAAAGTATGTTTTTATATCTCTGCATGGCCCAAAAGAAAATATGGTTTATTCTTTTTTTTTATAACAAATATTAACTTTTGCACAATTTCTATGTTATCACTGGTTCTGCATTATTTAATATTGATTTCGAGTTTAGAAATGATTCATTTAAAATCATAATCCTACAGGTGACAATGGTTTTACATTAATTTTTTCAGTCACTTAGATAATGGTCACTACTTTCCTAGCAATATCTACTTTAATTTCAGAAATCTTGCACTAAAATTTTTGCATAAGGTTTCAAAGGCCACATAAGATGGACAGAAGAAGAATGAACTTATGTCCTTCTTGTACAGAAAACCCTTCAGGGTAAAGTCAGTTTCTATCAACAAAACATAAGTGAAAACCGACAAAACTTTACTGGATTTTAATCCTTCCTTTAAAAAAAAATTTTTAATCCTAAAATACACAAAAATCTCTTTGACCAGGGCTTTGTGGTTTTTTTTAAAATGGAACTACAAATACTGAAAGTGTTTCAAAACTAGATATTCATTACTAGTTTTTCTTCTAGATTTCGAGAAGTTGTAGCAGAAAATGATGTTTTGCCATGGGAAATAGTCTACATCTTCAAGCAAGTGCTAAGAGATTTTCTAACCAATGCAGAAAAACAAAGTCAACGAGAGGAACTAGAAGACACAGAGAATACAAACTGCTCTGTCCACTCTGGAGTTCTAGGTCAAAGTACCAAGAATTCAGATAAAGAAGAAATTCCCACTATTTCAAGTTACGTTGATAAAAACACAAAAAATACATTCCCTGCATTCTCACAGAGAATATGGAATCTGCCATATTACTATCCATCAACTGAAATCACTCATCATCACTCAAGCATTCATCTGTATGATTTTAAACTTGAACCCACAACATGAAATACAGTTTAGAAATAAGAAAATGTGACAAGTTCATGTTTCCCTTTGTTACAAGGTAAAAAGTTTACAATTCTTATGGATGTCCTTATATTTTCTATAAGTAGAACTTTAGTCATTGTACAAAAAAAGTTGCCATTTAGCAGTAATGTTTAACTAAAATGTATATTGTGCCTCTCTTAAGTAAATCTTTGAAATACTTCCCTGTTTTTACATACCTCTAGAATATACTACAGAAAACAAACTAGCTTTATGTACTTAAAATATAACCAACACTTTGGAAAGCATGGATAGCAAGGACAATTTTTAAAAAATAATTACATAGAAAAGCTACATGTAGAATAAAGTGCATGTTTTAAAGTTGTTATCAATTGTACTCACAACATAACAATGATCTAAAACACAAGCAGCATCCTAAGATGCATATATAATCTCCAGATTAACTGAAGGAAATGGTCTGGGTTTTAATATTTATATTAACATTTAATATATTATTTAATTCAATTAATTTAAATTAATTTAATATTGATAGTGGGTAGTCTCCGAAAACAAAAATTATATACTAACTTCAAACAGGCTTCCCTCTCAGCTCAAACAAAATGTGAAAATAACCTAACAAACTTTAAGATTATAATTCAGGGATTTGTAATAATTCTGTGAAAGAAATGAAAAAGGCTCATGAATCTTAACCATTCAAGAAAGTCAGTACTCAAGAGACAGACTTTACACAAGAACTTAAGGTCAGCAAACATGTGAAGAAAATTAAAATTTGAGTTCTATCTCTAAATAAGCATACAAACAAAAAAGAATTAAATTCCAAAATTAAGGCCTCTGTACAGGGGCAGGGAGGAAGGCAAATGCATAAGCTCCAGTTTCTTTCTCCCTCACCAAATTTCTTTTAAAAATTTTGGTTTTGCTTGAATTAAATCTCAAATCTAGTAATATCAATAAATGTGTACACAAGGGCAGGACTTAACAAAAATCAAGATGACTCACATATAAATAAATCCATCTGTGGATCCAAATAAACCCAAATGAAATTTCATATTTTAATATCTCATCTCTCTTCCTCTTGTATTTGTTATTTATGACAAATTTTTTTCTGAAGAAGCTTAAATCTTTGAGAAAAACACAGGTTCATAGCCTTCTGATTGATGTAAGCCCCCGAAAAAGGAGGCATCTTGGAGCATTTACACCACCTTTCCAGATCTCCACTTCCTCATCTGTAAAATAAGGGGCTGAATTAAAGTCTTGGGTCCTGTCCAGCTGCAGAATGAAAAAGGGAGAGAATGTAGCACTACAAGAGTACATGGGCACAAAACAAATGCTGAAGACTCAAGGCTGCTCTGAGAACTTGAAATAGCTGGATTACACTCATCTCCTTTTCACTGTGCCATCCCAGACAGAAAATGTTCTAAATGAAACCCGGATCATTAGCAGGAAGCCTGATCCCTGAACAGTTTCTAGGTATCTATTGAGAGAGGGCAAATGGCAATTCAGAGACCCTGAGACATTTGCAAACAAGATTTTATCAATGCTTTCCCATCCACTAGGTCAGAAACAAGATCTTTTTAAAATCAACTATATTTGCTCCCATTTGATAAGACTACAGACCATAATAAAGAGACAGACTCAGGCTTCATAAAATGTTCCTCTTGAGCCCAGTAAGGATGGGATGAAGAATGACAAAAAAAGATCAACGGAGAGAAGTTGTAAAGAAACTTGATTCGGGCTCAAAAGCTAAACTTCCTAATAACTGAAAGTGGAATGAGTTTGGCCCCATAAATAGTGTGTTCTATGTTACTGGAGATCTTGAAAGAAAATACATTGGATTCCTACTTAATAGAAATCTCCTTTATGACAAGATAAGAGTTTGGACTACATGACCTCCAAAGTCCCTTCAAACTCAGATTCTGTAATTACAGTGCTATCCACTATCACCAGAGTATTTATTCTAAGCTAACCAGATACCATTTTACATTATAGTTATGGGGGTGCATCAGGGAAATTCCTGATCAACTTACCTTGTTATACTGACTTTGCATTTCCTCCAGCACGTAGTATAGTATTCTTTACACAGTGGTGCTTAATAAATGTTCAGAGAAGTCTAACTACATAACAATAACGTAAAAAGTCAAGTCTAAACTAGAATTAAAATTAAATTTTTGCTAATCAAAATTTTTGGTTGAATTTAAAGTGAAAAACATTGAAATTAATTTTCCTCAGAATATCCAAGCTTTTCAAAAAGCTTGAAAGAATGAACAAGATAATCAAAGGATACTTATAGCCACATTCTCCTGCCCAAAACTTTCAGGGGAAAGAAAGAAGAAATGATCAACTAGGAAAATATTGTCTTAGACAAATTTTCAGAAGCGATGTGTTTCTCATATTTTAGGCATTCTAAGGACAGGCTTACTATTTGTCCAAGCATCCTCTAGTGCAGCAGCTCTTAAACTTTTTCACAGTGGTAGAACCCTTCAGCTTAAACAAATCTTTAGCAGAACCTTGTGGCAAAATCCTCCAAAATTATTTTTATGCTTATTAAAAATAACATACAGTTCATTTTTCTACGCAGACTTAAGGTGTGTTTTAGGTTTCCTTGCAGTACAACTTGAGAAACAGTGCTCTAGTGAATCTTTATAAAGGAGACAACCATTCCAACTTAGCTTTTTAAAATGTTTTATTTAGATTTTTATGCAATCAGCATACCCACAACTGGTGAAGGAATCATTATCAAAAGGTCACTGCATGCTTACAATCAAGTTTTTTGGGTTGGGGCAGAGGAGAGCTTGTGATCTTTGATTCTATTGGGGAACTTCCAATGAGGAAACTCCCTCTACAAACCCAGAACTGCAGCTCAGTCTTAAGAAAGGTGCCCAGGGCAATGAGAACTTAAATTCTTGACCAGAATCACAACAGCTAATCTTTTAAGTCAGTCAATAAACATATATTAAGCGCTTGCTATGTGCCAGGCACTGTACTATATGTTTTGGGATACAAGGAAAGGGAAAAGAGTCTGCTCTTTTATTCAATGTGCAAAAAATTATGTACAAGCTAGATACAAGGTACATTGGAAATAATCAACAAGGGGAGTGCACTAGAACAGGGATCAGGAAAGCCTTCCTGTTGAAGAAGAGATTTTTAACTGCAACCTGAAGGAAGTCAGGAGACAGAAATCAGGAGGGAGAGTATTCCAGGCATGGGGAATAGCCAGTAAAAATGCCTGGAGTTAAGAGTTTTGTGCAAACAGCAAAGAAGCCAGTTTCACTGTAGGGTAGATGGGGGGTCATAAGGAGATTGGAAAGGTGAGAAGGGACCCAGGAAGCTTACAATGTAGTAAAGCAGACAAGACTAACACACACAACTTGGACCTCTGACGTCCCCCTCCAATACTAAGGTGAAAAAGAGGGTGCAAAATTAATACAACTATGAAAAACTAATAACAAGATTAAACAGAAAAGCTGGCAAAAAGATGGTGTGAACTAACACAACTGATTATGGAAATTTATTTCTGAAGACCAAGGGGACCCCCTGGCATGAGCAGTTCACAAGGGAAAATGAACTAGCAAGTAAATTACATGCAATGACAGTTGAGTATTGTTTAAATTAAGAAATTCTCAAATAAAAAATAAGAAGAAATGAGGTTAATGGGGAGAGGGGGAATGTAAGAAGACAAGGCAATAAAAATCTAATAAACATATGACTATGAGCTTGACTTCTAAGGAAGCCAGTACTTAATTCTGAACACAAAAAATAACCAAAACATATAGCAGCTAAGTGTTTACATTTTTCTTCTCCTCTCCTTTAGTCAGGGTAAGGAAGATTAAGAAGGTATACAAAGGAAGGTATAAAAGGATAGAGCACTGGTCCTAGATTTAGGAGGACCTGAGTTCAAATCCGACCTCAGACACATAACACTTACTAGCTGTGTGACCCTGGGCAAGTCACTTAACCCCACTGCCTCGCCAAAAAAAAAAAAAAAGAGAGCAAAGCAAGATAAGGAGCACATAGAGGAAGGGGTCCTAAATGGGAAATCTACATAGCAAGGAGTGAGCAGTCCAGCCAAATCAATCATTCAGTAACTTTTTAATAAGTACCAACTCTGTGCAAAGTACTGTGCTAACAGAACTGAAATGAAAACAAGGTACATCATAAAAACTTAGAAACTTTACTCATAACTGTCTCCAAGGTCTCCAAACTCATCTTTCATTACAATCCTTAAGAATCTTCTGCTTCCGTCAGACTAACCCTTTTGCAGTAGCTTACAAGACTTGTTATTCCTACCTTCAGTAATTTCCAACTATGCCCTGACCTTTCCCCTCCTCTAAGTAAACTGTCTAAATCCCCTACGTCCTTCAAAATTCTACTGGAAACTCTCCTCAAAACCCAAACCATTCTGTTAACTCCATAAACTCAGTTTATATTACCTTAATTTTTACTGCCAAATTGCTCTGCAAAAGCACTGCACTTGCAATCTTCTAATTTGAGTTCCTATTGTGGTTCTGACTTTATTTTCACTTCACTTTACACTTCAACTCTCTGGACATCAGTTTCCTCATCTTAAAATGAGGGGCCTTCTGTCCTAGCTCCAAATTCTCTTATTTCAGCTGTTCAAAACTAGAGAGAGCTCCTCAAAAATGTGGTTGTCCCCTTGTCCTTCGTAGTATCCCTGAAACTCAATGCTCTGCCAATAAAACTATGACTTATTGGGTGACAACTTCTCTGAACCTCCATTTCCTCACCTATAAAATGGGAATAAATATTGTATACTACCTAAGACAGTTGTTGCAAGCACTTTATTTTAGAAATGTCAACTATTTATTATCCTCAAGAATTCTGGAATAACTGTTAGTCAATATATTCCAAATGGTAGAGTCAGCAAAAACAGGCTAAGGAACAAAATAGCATGGAGTAGCGGAAAACACACTAGACTCAGAGCAAGAACTGGTGTTGAGTCCTAGCTCTGGCCCTTGTCAGACCTGTGATTCTGGGTCTCAGTTTCCTCACCTGTAAAATGGAAACAGGAATGAATACTTGTACTACATAACTCAAAGGGCTGTGAGCCATGTTCTCAAACCTTTAAGTTCTATAAAAATGAATATATTATCCACACAAAAATAAACCCTAGAACCAAAATCATTTATAGTTCCAAGGCCACTTTCAAGACATGAAAGGCTATGAGTGCCCAAAGAAAATGAAATATTAGTCTCAACAAATGTGAATTCGGCTGCACAAGCATAACAGAAGTTCTGCAACTGAACTGCAAAGGAAAATTTAATGTGTTATGGAGAACAAATAGGTTTTTCACTGATTCAGTGAAAATGCACAGCAGCAATTGGCACAGAAAACAGTTCTTAGAATGTCCTGTGACCACTAGAAATCTGGCCCTTGGTTACACTTAATTAATGCCCTTGACAAAATTACTATGCTTTAATCTTTATCAAGTTACAGCAATATTTTCCCATATCCCTCACTATGTCTCATTCAAGGCAATGCCATTTTCTCCACTACTTCTGCAGACTTTTTTAGCAGTTATAAGAAAAAAATTAGCATGGTTTCAATTAGAAAAATGTTCTGGAGACTCTAAAGCACTACAGAAACATGAGTCAATTCAGTTCAACTAATGTGTGTTAAATATGTATATGTACAAGGCACTGTGCTTCAAAATGACAAAAGCTCCTGGGCTCAGGAGCCAACAGTATGACAGGAGGCAAGAAGATAAATCCCAGCCACGCAGTACCTGTGTCTTCCTGGGTAAGCCACTGCTACTCTTTAGGCTCGAGTTTTCCAACCTATAAAAAGAAGCGATCGCACTATAGTCTTTAAGGTTCCCCACGCAGCTTTAATTACCAAGAACTTGCGCACAAATGACTATGATGCAGGGTTAAATGTGACGAACACAAGGAAAAATCAGACAAAGCGCTATGACGAGTCTGAGGAGAAAAAGAGTATGTGTTAATAGGATCACAGATTTAAAACCAAACAAGTCCTCTGAGTCATCAAATCCACCCTCCTCATTTCACACATTAGCAAACAGAAGCCCAGAGAGGCAAAGCGATATGTGCCCAAGATCACAAAAGTAGTCAGTCAGTGGCAAAGACAGTACTCAAACCCAAGTCATCTGACTTCAAATTCTGAGTTCTTGCCATTGTACTGACTTCTTTTCCTCTCAATTAAACAAGAGAGGCATGCCTCCAGTAGTGGAAATAGCTCAAAAGGTAAGTGAATGTCAGAGGTGGAAAGTGCTCTTAATTTTGAATGATCATTGAATTTAAAGGATATAAAAGGCCTTGGGACTCAACAGCCTCAATTCCAGAAACTGGAATAAATCCCTCAACAAGCACTCTTAATCAGTATAGATACTGTGCCTGACACTGGAGATAAGAGCACAAAGAATGAAACAATCCCTAGCCGTAAGGAAATTACATTCTCATGGAGAAGGCAAATCCATACAGAGGAGAAATAACCTAAGTAGTTTGAGAGAAAGGGTACTAGCAGTTAGGGGTGGGAGGAAGATCAGCAGAGCATTAGTGTAGAAGACAGTACTAGAGCTGCATCTCGGAGAACGATGTTAAGTGAGGTGGAGAACATTCCAGGCATGGAAGGCAGAATGTCAAAAATGAACAAGAGTAGGAAAAGGCCAGGATGACTAGGTCGCAGACTGTGGGATGGAGAATAAAGTACACTGAGGGTAGAAAGATAGGTTGAGGCCAGGTAGCGAAAAGCTTTAAAAGCTAAGAAGAGATTATGCTTGACCCCAGAAGTAACAGGAAGCCACCAGAATTTGAGTGGTAGAGTGACACAGTCAAACGCATGCTTAAGGAAAATCACTAGGCAGCAGCATAGCACAGTGATGTCAAACTTAAATAGAATCTGGGCCAATGAACCATCATAAGGATCCTGGTGAGATAGAAATATATACACATATACTTACATATATGTATGTATAAATGTATATATACATACACATATATAAAGACAGAAAAACACATTATATTATTTGGTTTTTATTTATTTTATTTATATATTTTGTTAAATATTTCCCTGTTACATTTTAATTTGATTCTAGCTGCACTCACTTTGACACCTCCAGTATAAAGAACGTACTGATCAGGGAGGAGAGAGACTATTGCAGCAAGCCAGGCCAGTAGTGATAAGGGCCTGAACTAAGGTGGTAGTTAGGTGACTCCAGAGGTCAAACAGAAGAAATATTATGGATATAGAAATAGCAAGTTTTGGCAAGTGACTGGAGGGAGCTGAATCACAGTCCTGAAGTAAGAAGAATGGTGGTGCCTCTGATAGAAATAGTTGAGTTTCTCACTACTTTCCCTTTAAGAACTCTTCTATTTAAAAAAAAATACACCTTATTCCTCCATTCCATATAATTTGCTTATTAATTCATTATCCTCTGTGACTCTGGCAAGGGTTAATACCTTTTAACCAACCTCAGCAAGAGCCAAATTCATCATGAGTAATGAAGTCAGAGGATCTAGGCTCAAATCCAGCTCTAGAACCTACCACTTCTATGCAATTTGAGTCTCTGTAGGCCTCAGTTTCTTCATAAGATGAAGGTGCTGGACCAGATCACCTCTTGGGTCACTTCCAGCCCTAAATCTAAAATCCTACAACATACCCAAAATGCCTTTGGTCAAACAAAGGAGACTCAAGTTCAGAAAATAGAACTTAAATTTCTTAGTGGAATGTAATGTTCTCATTTTGTGCCAAATACATATAAAAGTTTGTTAAAATGAAGAAAGGGGAAAATGGGGAGACGCTGCACTAGAGAGAAGGGAGACAAAAAATAAATAAAGCAAGGATACAATACAGCCTTCTTCGTGGCGTTTAAGATCCTTACTGGCTGGGTAAACCTGGATAAATAAGCTTTTGGGCCTCATTTTCTTCCTCTGGAAAACAAGGGTAATACTCATACCAACTACCTCACAGCATTGCAAGGCTAGCACTTCGTAAATCTCAACCCACTGGGAGAAAAAAAAAACAGTAATTCAACAATTACTGTTGTAGTAAGAAACCAGAAGTAAGGTCAGTGCTAATCAATTGAAGAAGTAACTGAACAAAAATGTGGTCCATGAATGCAGTGACATGTAATTGGTATAAAAAAAAAAGCCTAACATCATATAAGTCACTCTCCAACTGATAAATGGTCAAAGGATATGACCAGGCAATTTTCAGATGAAGAAATTAAAGCTATCCATGGTCATATGAAAAAATGCTCTAAATCACTATTGAGTAGAGAAATGCAAATCAAAACAACTCTGAGGTACCATATCACACCTACCAGATTGGCCAACATGACAAAACAGGAAAATGATAAATGTTGGAGATGTGGGAAAACTGGAACACTAATGCATTGTTGGTGGAGTTGTGAACTGATCCATTTTGGACAGCAATTTGGAACTATGCCCAAAGGGCTATAAAAATGTACATACCCTTTGATCCAGCAATAGCACTTCTAGGGCTGTATCCCAAAGAGATCATACAGATGAGAAAGGGACTCATATGCACAAAAATATTCATAGCAGCTCTTTCTGGGGTGGCAAAGAATTGGAAATTGAGGGGAAATTGGAGAATGGCTGAACAAGATGTGCTATATGAATGTAATGCAATACTATTGTGCTATAAGAAATGATAAGCAGGCAGACTTCAGAAAAACCCGTAAAGACTTGTATGGACTGATGCTGAGTGAAGTGAGAAGAACCAGGAAAACACTGTACACAGAAACAGCCACAGTGTGGGATGACTAAGGTTGATAGACTTAGCTCTTCCAGCAATGTAAAGATCTAAGACAACTCCAAAAGTCTCATGATGGAAAATGCTATCCACATCCAGAGAAAGAACTACGGAGTTTGAATGCAGATCAAAACATAACTATCTGTTTTTTTTTTCCCTTCTGTTTTGTTTTGTTTCTTCTTTCTGGTGGTTCGTCCTATTGGTTCTAATTCTTCTTTACAATATTACTAATGTGAAAATATGTTTAACAGGAATGTATATGTACAGCCTATTATCAGATTGCATGCCGTCTTGGAAAGGAAGGTGGGGAGGGAGGGGGGATTTAAAACTCAAAAGCTTTTGGAAGTTATGATTGAAAACTAAAAATAAATTAATTTTTTTAAAAAAGCCCAATATTAGTATTCAGAAAAACTTGGCTAGACTACTATTAACTGACAAAGCCAGTGAAGGAAGCAGAAAGAAGAGAACGCTATCCACAATGCCCATAGGGAAGCAACTCAAAAAAAAAAAAAGTCAGAATCCAAGCCAATAAGATGTTGATCCTGGGCCTGTGAAGCTGAAGTAAATCCCCTGATTTCCTTAGAGTGATGGAGCACTTGAGAAACACATGTTGTAACTAGACATGGTCAATATCTTAGTTGGTTTGGCTTAATTATACTTCTTTATTATAGGGGATTACTAAGAATGATAGATGGGAAAACGAAAAGGAAGGTAATAAACAAAACTTCAAAGAAAAATAGGTTACCATTGTTCACTCCCTCCATTGGGGAGTTCTTTCCCTTTTTTAGGTCTCCCCCAAATACATAACCCCTCCCCATTTCTAAAAAAGGGTTCCGAGTGGAGGGTTCCCCGGGCCCCTTACCCGCCAACCACCGGGGAGGTCACGGCTCGAGCATGAGCCTGTCTGCTGCCAACGCTGCCACCCGCTGCCGATGCCGCCTGGTCACTCCGGGGGTGGTCGCCGAGCCTCCTCTCTGCTCCTCGCCTCCGCCTGAGTCAGGGCCTCGGCCTCGGCCTCCATCTCGGCCTGGGCCTGGGCATAAGCCTGGGGTTGAGCACGATGAGCCTGCGGCCCAAGCCCAGGAGGGCCAGCAGGAAAGGTGGGCGGAGACCCCAGGAGCTCCACATTGGCCACTGTCTTGCCGATGGTGAACCAGTCGTTGATCTGGTCGAGGGTCAGCTTGCGCAGCATGGTGGTGTCCGAGCGGACGGAGTCGCGGAGGCCCGTGGACCGAGCACGAGAGTGGACGCCCTCTGACCCCGCGGGCTTCGCCGAGCTTCCGGTAGGAACCAAAACCTGCGGGCGAAAGAAATACCAGGCTTCCAGCCCCGCCCCCAAGCCCCTCCCACCAGCCCCACCCCCTTCCAGTGGGGCGGAGCCCCTCCCCCAGCACGTGAGGCACCAGGTCCCTTCTAGTGCTGCGCTGGGACATTCCAGGGTTCAAAGAAGCCTCTTGGAGCTGGGAAACCCGGGAAATTCTGGCAGTGGGAAAAGATGTACAGAGGTGGTGGCTCCCAGCCCCATCGCTTCGAAGTTCACCTTCTTCACACCTGCGCTAGTGCATGCGCGCCCGCCCCCTCCCCCCACCAGGAACCACGTGCCTCTTGGTGCCACATTTTGAAACAAAGCTGGTATTCTCACTCTTACTGGTCCTTCCCTGTACACCAGAGTATGGTAATGTCCAAGCATGCTTCAGAGATAGCCGTGGGGCTTCCTGCCTTCATCCACAGTTACCCTGAGATGGAATTTAAATACACTCCAGGCGACAAGATTATTTTTTAAATTTTTTTTATTTTTAACATTAATTTTTAAAATTTTTGAGCTCTAAATTCTCTTCTTCCAGTTCCTTCCCCACACATTGTACAGGCAAGCAATATATCAATTATAATGTGAAATCATGCAAAATGTTTCCATATTAGCCGTGTTGAAAAAAAAATCATGGAAAAACAAAGTGGAAAAAATACTCCAATTTGCACTCAAAGTTCAGTTCTCTAGAGGCGGATGGCATTTTTCATCATGAGTCCTTTGTAATTGTATTGGATCATTGTATTGATCGGCAACATTCAATATAACTTAATTAAATATGTCGTAAGGACTTCCTATAGTATGATAATAAGGAGCCATTTATTTTGCTGTTGTTCAGTCATATTCAATTCTGTGACCTCATTTGCGGTTTTCTTGGCAAAAATACTGAAGTGATTTGCCATTTCCTTCTCCAGCTCATTTTAACAGATGAAGAAACTGAGGCAAACAGGATTAAGTGACTTACCCAGAGTTATACAGCAAGTAAGTGTCTGAAGCCAATTTTGAACTCAGGAAATTGAATCTTCTCACTTGAGACCTGGACACTGTTGGCCAACCACCTTACATATATATCCTTTGTATGGTTGATCTTATTTGATTAAAGGAAAGTGGCCAGTTTCCCCTCAAGCAAACCTGGGAAGCTCTACAGTGGCTACACCGTGGGGCTCCTCTGCCCACTCCCAAACTCTATTTGTATGACCCATGCAAATAGACACAACTACAATACAAAAGAAGTGATGATGCCACTTCTCCAGGAAGCCTTGACAAACACGCACATCTTGTGGATCATGACATCCTCCCCTCATCACATTTTCTTTGCAACATACTAAACCACTTAATAAGTGCTATTGTATAGGACAGTCATCTGTGAAAGGAGAATAATCCTTACCCTATGAAGCAACAAAGCTAGAGTGCCAGGCTCAGGAAGACCTGAGTTCAAATATGACCTCAGACACTTACCATTTGTGTGACCCTGGGCAAATCATTTAAACCTGTTTGCCTCATTTTCATCATCTGTAAAAATGAGCTGGAGATGGAAATGGCAAACCACTCTAGTATCTCTGCCAAGAAAATTAGCTGTCTGTCCTCTAAATGTGATATCCTTTTCCAATGGAAATACAAATTGAGGAACTGGATGCTATCAATATTGACATTCTCACTATAAATAAAATCAGAACACAAAAGGAAGTCAATAATAGAAAGATGACTTGTAGATTTTCCTTGACATGACAACAAACGAAAAACATAACAGAGTTGGATCAGTCACATAATTCAAAGGCAATAAGAAATATCATTTCATGGACTACTTAGTGATCTTATGTTTGAGTGCTTACAATAAGTATTTCTAAATGGACACCATGTAAATAATAGCAGTTTATATGCCCACATCTGTTAAAGAGAATTAATAATGATAGTAATAATTAACATTTATATAGCACTTACTGTTATGGAGGAGAATGGTGGAAGGTTATTAGCAGTATCGCCCTATAAAACAGCAAGAATCAGTGGAGAGAAAAGTGAACTTAAAGAAAGTTTGTTACGACTACAAAAAAAGAGATTAGAAAATGTACCTCCCTCTTTCCATTAGAAAGATGGAGTACCATGGGTATAGAAGGCCACTTGTGTTGTCAGAAATGATCAACATGAAAGTTTTGCCAAACTTTTCTTTTTTAATCTTTACTACAAGGAAAGGCTCCGAACTATAAAATGAGACTTCCACTTAACACGGTCACAGAGGAGCCCAGCTCTCCCACATATACTCTAGCACATACAGGGTATCCCAAAAGTTAGTGCAGTTTTAAGCTTTAATAGTTTAAAATTTCACTAAGACTTTTGAGACACCCTCTAAAGAGCATCAGAAAGAATAGTAATCAAGAAGACTGAAGAGGAAGAGTAGTAAGTTATCTCATGCAGTCTAGGACTGTACAAGAAGAGAAGCGGATGTTTGTCGGTGCTCAGAAATGAGTTGTAAGAAGGGAGTCAGACTATACATCTATAACCTGTAGCGAGATGCTTGCCTTTTCAATGAGGGTGGGTGGAGAGGGAGGAAGGGAGAAAATTTGTAACCCAAAGTTTTAAAAACGCATGTTAAAAAAAATAAAATAAAATAAATAATTTTTTTTAAAAAGGGAGTCAGAAGTAGACATGAGTGTTAGTTAATGGCCTGAGGTTGCTCCGAGTGGAGATGTAGAGCTGGGGAAAAAAAACAAAAACAAAAAAAAATCTTCTTGATCCAACTGCCTAGTGAATCCAACTACTTCTTCTGACCAAAGGAGAAACTGAGATTCAGAGATTTGCCCCAAGTCCCATAAGAAGGGCTGGAATTTGAACCCAGTTTTTCTAACTCTAAATACAGGGCTCCTTCTGTACCATTGCTCAAATACTTCCATGTGTCACAGCCCCCAAGTTATAAATTCATTTAGTGTGATAGAAAGGAAAGTAGAATCAGAACCAGAATTCAAATCAACAAATCTTTGTTAAAGGCCTACTTTGTGTGAGAATGTGAGGGACTTCTCCCAGGGCAACAGGGACACAGGTAGAGTTCCAAAGCTACACCCCCCTTTCCTCTGTAGTGTTGCCAAACGCCTCCTCCTTGAGACTTGGGGAAGCTTTGTGGTGATTTGCATGGCTCAGGCACCTGCTGCGGGAGCAATGATGAGAACGGAAGAGGGAAATGAAAAGGAACGAACATTTTTGTGCTCATCCTCAGAAAGATTCAATTGCAAATGTGGACCTTGGGGTGGGGCATATGGCCTGCACTCTTGGATGAGGAAGATGTAAAAGAATTTCGCTAATTGACTAACCCAAATGTATCCATGCCTAGATGACTCAGGATGACTGGAAATGGAGTGAGAAAGAAAGGTCTTGAGAGTCTCTTGAGCAGCTCTTACGTGTCATCTGGGTGAGGTGTTTGCCTGATTAATAAAAAAGATGAAAATATGATGAACATCTCTAAACATATCCCCCCAGTAGCCTCAGCCCAACCCCTGCCCTTTCCCAGTCGCCAGTGGTCACGGACTCAGGAACCACCAAGGCCACTAATTGAAGAATACACGTGGCCATTCACATCCCCTCCACAGGCAAAGAATCACCAACTATAAATCTTCCTGAAAAATGAAGGATCAGCAGACCTTACTGTCTGCCCTGCCACTGGACCTTGCCACCAAAGCGATATTCCTAAAGTACAGGTCTGACCATGTCACTTCCCTACTGAATAGGCTGCAGTGGCTCCCTATCGCTTCCAGGATCAAATTCAAAATGCTCTGTTTGTCAATCAAAGCCCTTCATAACCTAGTCCCCTCCCACCTGCCCAGTCTTCTTCCACCTTACTCCCTGACACATAGCCTTTGATCCAGTGACTCTGGCCTGCTGGCTGCTCCATGAATAAGACTCTTCCCTCTCTTGGCTCCAGGTATTTTCTCTGACTGCCCCCCGTGCCTGGAATGCTCTTCCTCCCCTGCTCTAACTACTGACCTCCCTGACTCTCTTTAAGCCTCGACTAAAATCCCACCTGTACAGGAAGCCTGCCCCAAGCCCTTTCGATTCCGGGACCTTCCCTCTGTTAATTATTTCCTATTTATCTTGTACATATCTTGCTTTGGATATATTGGTTTGCATGTCATCTCCCCTATGAGATTATCTTTTATTTCTTTTTGTATCCCCAGCACTTAGCACAGTAGGTATTTAATAAATGTTTATTGATTGGTAAAGCATTTTGGCACATAGTAGGTGCCATAAAAATGCTACATATTGTTATTATTATTTTTCAGAGACCCAGAGCAGCAGTGGAAGGTGGAGCTTCAGTGGTTATAGAGAAAGCATAGAGCAGAAACAACGAGGAAATTCTAGCTAGAAACAAGCTTTAAGAGGTGGAGGAGAGAAGCAATGAGGCAGAGACTGTGGCTGGGCTGCTGGGAAACAAAGCCACAAGCCAGACATCAGGCTGGGGATGGGAGGCCATCTGGCCACAAAGTCTATGTCAGCCTTAACCCATTCCACGTTGCACAAAAGATACTGAGGTAACAGGAGTCTGGCACACAGGCAGAATGCCTCTGATGCTACTCACCATAATCAGAGGCTGGGGAACCTGCTTCTAGCAGAGTCCTGATGACAGGTAACAGAAGTAGCATGCATAGATAGTCTGGTCTGCTAGACAAGTGGCTAGAAGGGTTTTTTTTTAATCGACTACATAGCCAGAACTAGGGGTCCCTTCAAAAAGGCTTTAGTTGGCCTCAGACATTCCCATTTTTCTTCAGCTGCCTAATCTCAGCTTGACTCCTGCCATTTAGTGAGGGACAAGGCTGTAAGGGGAGAGTCTTTGGCCTTCTCCCCACTGAGGCTGACATGGCCCCATGAAAATGGGCCTCTATTGTGTTAACTTCATGTTTGTTTGTTTGTTTTTTCATTTCAATTGAACAGATTGGAGTCTATAGGCATGTTAGCATCCCATTGTTCTAGCATCTGGGTTTTGCAGCCAGCTCTGTTTTGATGTCCCAAGGGTCAAGGAGTGACTTTTAGGACCCAGATCAGTGGTAGCTGAAAAAAAGGACTCATGCAGTAGTGAAGTCACATCTGGATATAAACTTAGCGGAACCAAATCTATGCAAAGATTGAGATGAATTTGAGTCCACACTCTACAGAGACCAACGTGGGATAGGAGCAAGTGTGCCCCAGAAACGTTGAGGGGAAACGTTTGTATTTTTGTTCTTCTTACATCTTCAAAGTAAATATCCCTTTTTAAAAATATTGGTGTTAAGTAAATGGAACTGGGGAGCTAGATACCATTGGCTAACAGTGAGGGGAACAGAACTGGTGGGAGTTCAAGCCAAAAGCATGAGAGGAGACAACCCCAAATCTCTTTCAGGGCACCCTTAAGACACTGAGGAAGAAAAGTAGCTTTCCTGGCTCCAGAGCATACTCAATTACTTACATATGTAGCTTGTAACTGCAGACGCTATCCTTTCCTTTGGAATCATAAAATGATTATTGCTTGCTTCACAAGAATGTGTAGAATCACTGCCTCTCATCCAGGAGCTATCCTGCTACCTGCATATTATCTGAGGTAATGTTACTACCGATTGCATTTAGGGCATAAAACAACATCTTATGAATCATATTTGTTGTTGTTAAATCATTTTTCGGTTGTGACCAACTCTTTGTGACCCCATTTGAGGTTTTCTTGGCAGACACTGGAGTGCTTTGCCATTTCCTTCTCCAACTCATCTTACAGATGAGGAAACTGAGGCAAACAGGGTTAAGTGACTTGCCCAGGATCACACAGCTAGTAAGAGTCTGAGGCCAGATTTGAATTCACGAAGATAAGTGTCCCTGACTACAGGCCCAGTATTCTATCCACTGTACCACCTAGCTACCCTAAAAATAATCATAATATATATTATACAATATTTTAAGGTTTACAAAGAATTTTACATACATTATCTCATTTGATCCTCACAATCACCCCATCCCAGGTGCTACAGACATTATTATCTTCATTTTACAGATGAGGAAATCGAAGCCTAGGAGATTAAATGACTTACCCAGGGTCACACAGCTAATGTGTCTAAGGCTTAATTTGAGTTCGGGTCTTCCTGACTCCAAGACAAGCCTTCTATCTACTAGGCCACATTTCCTCTCTAAGGACTGAATCAAGCCCTTGGTTTGAGGAGGATGTATTCACTACATACAATAACTACCAATATAATTCCTGCTCAGAAACTACCAAATAGCAATAGAAATATTGTGTTTTTCCTGGTTAATAGTTCCCAGTGCATAAGTTTTTCCTCTTGTTCATTTTTCTATTAGCCCTAAGAGAAAAAGCTTTTAACTGCTTCTAAAACTGCTTTTCCGGGACAGCTAGGTGGCGCAGTGGATAGAGCACCGGCCCTGAAGTCAGGAGGACCTGAGTTCAAATCCGGCCTCAGACCAAACACCTAACGCACTTACTAGCTGTGTGACCCTGGGCAAGTCACTTAACCCCAACTGCCTAATAAATAAATAAATAAAATAAAATAAAACTGCTTTTCCAGGAACTTACTGCATACAGAAATATTGGAGAACTCTAGAAGCTATAGTCACATAAACTAAAGCTCCCATATTGAGCACTCTACTGTGGTGAGATGCCTGTGCTGTGGTTACAAGAATGAGATTTTAAGGTAAAGATGTTTTGCTGTTAGTCATTTTCAGTCATGTCCAACTCTCTGTGATCCCATTTGGGGTTTCCATGGCAAAGATACTGGAGTGGTTTGCCATGTCCTTCTCCAGCTCATTTTACAGATGAGGAAACTGAGGCAAACAGGGTGAAGTGAGTTGCCCAGGGTCACATTAGTAACTGTCTAAGACCAGATTCGAACTCATGTCTTCCTGACTCCAGGCCCAGCGTTCTATCACTTTACAACTTAGCTGTCCTATCTTTGTATTAATTGGTCCAAATAGCCATATAATGTTTTTGTGCCTCCCTTTGCTTTCTCTAAGTCTCAACTTAAATTTCACCTTTTATAGGAAACCTTCCCCAACCCCTCTTAATTCCAGTGCCTTCTCTCTTTTAATTATTTCCTATTTATCTTGTATATAGTTTGCTTTGGATATATTTGTTTGCATGCTGTCTCCCCATTAAATTATAAGCACTCTAAGGGCAAGGACTGTCTTTTGCCTCTTTTTGTATCCCTAGTGCTTTGCACAACGCCTGGCACGTAGTAAGCTCTTTATAAATATTGACTGATTGATTATTCAAAAATATAATAATGCCTCTATATTCTTTTGAGGCAGCTAGATAGCTCAGTAGATAAAGCACTGATCCTGGATTCAGGAAGACCTGAGTTCAAATTTATCCTCAGACACTTACTACCTGTGACCCTGGACGAGTCACTTTGCTTTAAACCACTGGAGAAGAAAATGGCAAACCATTACAGTATCTTTGCCAAGAAAACCCCATGATAAGCATTGGCATGATACAGTCACACCACAGGGTCACAAAGAGTCAGACATGACTGAACAACAGCAGTGTTTTATATTCCTGAGCTATATGAACAGCCCAACCTCTCTGGAGTTGTGACCACATACCCGTCTGTCTTCAGTGCCAGGGAAGGGAGATTCCTGTTGCTCTGGGTTTGTAAGGTAGATAAGAAGACCTGCTAGATCTAGGCCTTTTGCTGTTTTGTGTAACAAAGGTCAAAAATTCTCAGACAAGCAATGCTGAATCCAGCCAACAAAATCCCCACCAATCACCACCTCGAGAGCTCCGAGGTATAAATCTGGAGCAGGCAGTACTAATTATGTATGAGAAGCTGGGTTCTTCTACATAGAATCTGAAGGCCTGAGTAGTCTATGCTGTATTGATGCTTTGCATCAAGATGTGCACAGAGATGGAGGTGCTTGTTGGCGTTAGTGGTGGGCGTGAGATTCTGTATCAGATGGTCCGTCTTTCATCTGGAAGCACTCAAGGGGACCTGCTGCAGTTGAGTTCCCTGAACTTGACATTTCTCTAAAATCACATCTATTGTACTAGATCCTTAAATATGAATTCCTTAGGCTACAATTTTTGTGCATTGAGTTACGTTTTCATTGGTCACAGGCTTATCACATAGTATTTGCTATTTAATGTTAGGTGAATAGTAATATGAGAAATATCTCATTCAGACTCAGGAGGGATGAAGTTAAAAGCTCAGTTTATTACACAGTTGCAACTGCAGGTGTCCTGTGGACTAGGACAAATTGTATCAAAGCAGGAGCTCACTATTTATCTCTAATCCCCCCCTCCTGCAAAGTCCCTCCTCTGTTTTCTCATTGGCTGAGTACTCCAGAGTGTACAACTTTCTGGTACGCCTATTACATGTTACTCCTTGACATGTCCTTCCTCCTTCTTCATACATCCCATGTTCAGAAAATGGTGTCTTAGCCCCTCCTGGAGGTGGAGAAGCTAATATTTATAAGCTTATTAAGCATGCACACTCTAAGCGAAGCTTAACCTTTTGTCCTACTTACTAACTTCTATCTGCAAAACAAGATAAGACCAGCTTTATCTTATTTTACCTAGTTACTTTTAGTAGTTGTTTCAGTTTTACGGAATCTTTTGTTCTAATTAACTAACTTGTATCACCAAAACAAGAGACCTACTGTATTCTGTTTTACTGAGTTACTTCTCTAGCTGTTTGCTCCAAATTTATGGAAACAAACGTTTTCCTCCTATCTCTCAGTAATAACTATGGGGCAGCTAAGTGGCGCCATAACCCATAGATTGTTGGGCCTGAAATCAGGAAGACTCATCCTCCTTAGTTCAAATATGTCCTCAGGCACTTACTAGCTGGGTGACCCTGGGCAAGTCACTTAACCCTGTTTGCCTCAGTTTTCTCATATATAAAATGAGCTAAAGAAGGAAAACAGGAAACCACTCCAGCATCTTTGCCAAGAAAACTTCAATGGGATCACAAAGAGTTGGAAACAACTGAAATGACAACAAAAAATGCTAATTAGTGTTGTTATTACTATAGAAAGCTAGCCTCAGGGTCAGGAAGACCTGGGCTCAAGTGTAGACTTTGACATGTAATAATAATAAGAGCTAGCATTTTATATAATGCTTTAAGGTTTTCAAAGCATAACATTATTTCTGTTTCCAGAGTGAAGTGGAATAATAGTTACATATGCATAAAATCCTGTACTGGACATTGGGAATATATAGAATAAAAATAGCCCAGTCTCTGCCTTCAAGCAACTTGAAGTCCATGGAGGTAAGGGTAGGGGTGGATGGTACAATCTATATGCAAACAGAGTAGAAGGTGATAGGTAAAACATGATAATGGAAAATTTAAAAAGAACCTTAGGTTCGAGGCTAAGCTCACCCATTAACTATGTGACCTTGAACAAGTCCCTAAATTTCTCTCAGTCTGCTTTCTTATCTGTGAAATGTGGAGAATAACACTGTATACCACCTAATTCATAGAACTGTTATGAGACTGAAATGAAATAAAATAGGAAATGCCTAGCCTCAAACAGGAGGCTGGGTGGCCCAGTGGATAGAGTGTTAGAGCCGTAGTCAGAAAGAACACAGTGCAGACCTTCGCTCATTTATTAGCTGTGTGACCCTGGAGAAGACACTTCACCTTGCTCAGGCTCAGTTTCCTCATCTGAAGGAGGAGGGAGATAATAGCACCTACCTCACAGAATTCTTTTGAGAATCAAATGACATAATATATGTAAAACATTACACAACTCTTAAAGCATTCTGTACATACTACAGCAAGGTGGTGCAGTGGGTATTGCACTGGGTTTGGGACCAGAAAGACTCATCTGAGTTCAAATCTGACACCCAACACTTACTAGCTGTGTGACCCTATTTGCTTCAGTTTCCTCATCTGTAAAATGAGCTGGAGAAGGAAATGGCAAACCACTCTAGCATCTTTGCCAAGAAAATCCCAAATGGGGTCGTGAAGAATTGGACATGACTGAAACAACTAAAGAACAATTACTAGCTATTATTATGTTATTATAGAAAGCTAGACTTAGGGGCAGCTAGGTGGCACAGTGGATAGAGCACTGGCCCTGCAGTCAGGAGGACCTGAGTTCAAATATGACCTCAGATACTTGAGGCTTACTAGCTATGTGACCCTGGGCAAGTCACTTAACCCCACTGCCTAGCCAAAAAAAAAAGAAAAGAAAAAAAATCTAGACAGAGTCAGGTCAAACTCTGACATGTAATAATAGTAATAATAATAATAACTAGCATTTATAATGTTTTAAGGTTTGCAAAGCACAAATATTATCTCATTTTATTCTTGCAACTCTCGAAATAGGTACTATTTTCACCCCCTTTTTAGAGAAGCAGATAGAGGTTAAATGACTCACAGTTTTCCTGACTCTAGGCCCAGGGCTCTAATTCACTGGGCCACATAGCTCTCTCATAATCAATCATTAAGCATTAAGCATTTCTTAAGCACTTACTATGTGTCAGAAAAGGCAAAAACACAATCCCTACCCTCAAGAAGCTCATTTATAATAGGAGAGACAACATGCAAATAATAGTGTACAAACAAGGTATACACAGAGAAAATGGGAGATAATCCCAGAGGGAAGCTGGTCGTTGAGGCTGAGAGGGTAGGAGTGAGAATGGCCTCTTTTTTTAAAAAATTAATTTATTTTGATTTATCAACAATCACTTCCATAAGCTTTTGAGTTTTAAATTTTTCTCCCCCTCTTTCTTCACCTCCCTCCCCAAGACAGCACACAATCTGATGTAGGCTATACATATACATTCCTATTAAACATCTTTTCACATTAGTGATGTTGTAAGTAAGAATTAGAACCAATAGGAGGAACCACCAGAAAGAGGAAACAAAACACAACAGAAGGGGAAAAAAATAGCAAATAATATGCTTCAACCTGCATCCAAACTCCATAGTTCTTTCTTTGGATGTGGATAGCATTTTTCATCATGAGGCCTTTGGAGATGTCTTCGATCTTTGCATTGCTGAGAAGGGCTAAGTCTGTCAATATTAGTCATCGCACAATGTGGCTATTACTGTGTACAACGTTCTCCAGTTCTGCTCACTTCACTCAGCATCAGTACATACAAGTCTTTCCAGGTTTTTCTGAAGTCCACCTGTTCATCATTTCTTTCAGAACAATAGTATTCCATTACGTTCATATACCACAACTTGTTCAGCCATCCCCCAACTGATGGAAGAGGCCTCTTGCAGAAGATGAAATCTAAGCTGTCTCTAAGGAAGCCAAAGTGGAGGTGAAGAGAGAGAGGCCTCCAGGTATGGGGGACAGCCAAGGGAAAAAGCAGAGTGGGGAAATGGAGTTTCTTATTTAAGGAACAGCAAAAAAGCCAAGGTTTTAGTATATACCAAGGAGGCATATGCTAAAGATGCCCTTAAGGTAAAAATGATAAACTAGACAACAGATTGGATATGTGAATTGAGTGCAAGAAAGGAGTCAAGGAGATTACAAGCTTGGGTGCCCAGCAAAATGGAGATGCCTTCAACAATAATAAGGAAATTGGGAAGAACAAAAGGTTTGGGAGAAAGATGATGAGTTCATTTTTGGACGTGTTGAGTTTGTAGGGGTGCCTACAGGACCTCCAATATGAGATGTCCAAGAGGCAGTTGATGATTTGAGAACAGAGCTTTGGAAGGAAACTTTGAGAGCTGGAGCTATAGATCTACATGGAGATGACAACTGAAGCTGATTAGATCACTAAGTGAAATAATTTAGAGGGAAAAGAGAAGAAAGCCTAGGAATAGAGCCTTAGGGGATACCCATGGTCGGTGGGCATGACATGGGTGAAGATTTAGCAAAGGAAACAGAGGAGTGGTTAGACAGGTAGGAGGAGAACTAGGGGAGAGCAGTAATAGGAAAGCGGAGAGAATAAAAAGTATCTAGGAGAAGAGAGTGATCAACACTGTCAAAGTCTGCAGAGAGGACAAGAAAGATGAGAACTGAGAAAAGGCCGTGAGATTTAGCAATTAAGAGATAATTGAGGGGCAACCAGGTGGCCCAGTGGATAGAGCTCCAGCCTTGGAGTCAGGAGAAGCTGAGTTTAAATCCAGCCTCAGACACTTGACACTTACTAGCTGTGTGACCCTGGGCAAGTCACTTTACCCCAACTGCCGCACCAAAAAGCCGAGAGAGAGAGAGAGAGAGAGAGAGAGAGAGAGAGAGAGAGAGAGAGAGAGAGAGGGAATTGATAACTTGGGAGAAAGCAGTTAAAGGATGGATGAACCACCAAGTAAGAAATGTAGCAGTGCCAGCTGCTATAAGATTAGGTAATTAATATGAATTTTAGAGGCTGAAAACAAGGTCACGTGATTTCCTCCAGCATCATTCTACAGCACAGGGGTAGAATTGGAGAAGGTAGGCATAAGTTGATCATGCAAGGATGAAGATTGGCAGGGTTTGTACAGAAGTAGATCAAGGGGTCAAGGATGCAAGGGTCAAGTGCAATTCATAATTGAACTTATTAAATAAGATCAAGACTTTTAAGGGAAGAAAATGAGCCCAGAGCAAGGGTAACTATAGGTATCAAGACAGAGACAGGTGGAGAAACTAGAGATGAAGAGAATATTGAAGGTTAAGGCCTGAAGCAGAGAAATTGAATTTTATGGTCAGAGAAAGGAATTTTATTGTTCTTTATTTTTATTTATTTTTAAAAATTGAGCTTTGAATTCTCTTCCTCCCTCCTTCCCACTCCTTCCCCACTCAATGTGAAGGCAATAAATGTGATATCAATTATACATGTGAAATCATGCAAAATATATTTCCATGTTAGCTATATTAACAAAAAAAAGAAAAACAAAGAAAGTGAAAAAAGTATACTTCAATCTTTATTTAGACTCCATCAGTTCTTTCTCTGAAGATAGCGTTTTTCATCAAAAGTCCTTCAGAACTATCTCAGATCATTGTATTGCTGAAAATAGCTAAATCATTCACAGTTGATCATTGCACAATATTGCTGTTACTGTGTACAGTGTTCTCCTAGTTCTGCTCACTTCACTTTCCATGACTTCATAAAAATCTTTCCAAGTTTTTCTGAAATCCATCTGCTTGCTATTTTTTTTTTCTTTTTGATGAGGCAATTGGGATTAAGTGACTTGGCCCAGAGTCACACAGCTAGAGAGTGTCATGTATCTTTGGTTGGATTTGAACTCAGGTCCTCCTGATTCCTGGGTGGGTGCTCTCTCCACTGTGCCACCTAGCTGCCCCCTGCTATGGAACAATATTATTCCATTGCATGGAATATTATGTTTGTTATGTATGTATTATGTATTATTATTATGTATGATTATTAATGGTTTCAACTAATATTTAGTTAATTCCTTAAATATACCATCATATCATCTGCAAACAGCAATAGTTTTGTTTCCTTATTGACTATTCTAATGTCTTCAATTTCTTTTTCTTCTCTTATTGCTATAGCTAGCATTTCTAGCACAATATTGAATAATAGTCGTGATAGTGGGCATCCTTGCTTCACCCCGATCTTATTGGGAAGGCTTCTAGTTTATCCCCATTACAGATAATGTTTGCTGATGGTTTTAGATGGATACTACTTATCATTTTAAGGAAAGCTCCATTTATTCCTGTTTTCTAGTGTTTTTCATAGGAATGAGTGTTGTATTTCATCAAAAGCTTTTTTCTGCATCTATTGAGATAATTTTATGATTTTTCCTTAATAGATGTGGTCAATTATGCTGATAGCTTTTCTAATATTGAACCAGCTCTGCATTCCTGGTATAAATCCTGTCTGGTCATAATGTATGATCTATGTGATATCTTGCTGTAATCTTCCTGCTAGCATTTCATTTAAAATGTTTGCATCAATATTCATTTGGGAAATTGGTCTATTACATATATATATATATATATATATATATATATATATACACACATATATATACACACATATATATTTCTTTGTTTTTTTTTCTTACTGGTTTAGGTACCAAAACCATATTTATGCCATTAAAGGAATTTGCTAGGACTCCTTATTTGCCTACCAAATGATTTATATAGTGTTGGAATTGTTCAAGTTCTTTATAATCTCTAGCTCAACTCTCAGTAGAAATAAAGACTATAGGATAATTGGTACAGGAGATCTATATAATAGGATAGTTTTGCATAGTATAATATAAGTATCTTGTTCAGTCTTTTCTTTGTGACACCATATGGGGTTTTCCTAGCAAAGATATTAGAGTGGTTCCTCATTGGATTTGCCATCTTCAGTGGATGAAGGCAAACAGAGGTTAAATGACTTGCCCAAGGACACACAGCTAGCACGTCTCTGAGGCTGCATTTGAACTCGTCTTCCTGACCCCAGGCCCAGTGCTCTATCCACTGAGCCACCTAACAGCTGCTATAGTTTAACTGTATCATAGCAGAGCAGAGCATAGTCTAGTAGCAAGAAGAGTCCAAAGGTATTTATTGATCTCCTGCTATGTGGCAGAGACTGTGCTAGGCTCTGGGAATACAAATACAAAGAATGGGGAAAAATTTCTTTTTTGCAAGCAGCTTACATTCTAAGGGCGGGACAAGTACATATGCAAATCTAGTCAGCATAAAAATAAAATGAATAAATATATGCAAAGTAGTTAAATAGAGTGCAGCTAGGCGGCGCAGTGAACAGAGTGTGGGGCCTGGAGCCGGGAAGACTTATCTTCCTGAGTTCATATGTGGCCTCAGACAGTTACTAGCAGTTGTGATCCTGGGCACGTCACTCAGTCTTGTTTGCCTCGGTTTCCTCATCTGTAAAATTTGCTGAGGAAGGAAATGGCAAACTACTCCAGTGTCTTTGCCAAGAAAAGCCCAAATGGGGTCACGACGAATGGGACGCGACTGAAAACGACTGAACACGTCAAATAGAAAGGAGGGAGGGCACTAGCAGATGGGGGGCAGGGGGAGATGTTGAAGGGCCGGGCGGCGACCAGGGCGGGGGTGCACCGGTAAAGGTTTGCGCAGAAGGTGGCGCTTGAGCTGCTTCAAGAAACACTGTACCCTTAGACAAGCCTCTTTTCATCTCTGGATGTGGTTTCCACCCCACCTCCCCCGGCTCCAGGCCTAGCCCCTCCCCCGCTCGCCGCGCTCTCTAGCGCTCCTCTGCACAGGCCCATCCCTCCTCCCAGGACGGTGGCTCTCCCGAGCGCTGCAGCTCCGGCGTACGCCGCCCGGAGGCGCTGTAGCGGGAGGCCGGCTCCCTGACCAAACTGCGAGGCCCCGCCTCTTCCGGCGCTCCCTGGGGCCGCTTTTCCCGGCAGTCCCCGCGAGGCTCCGGCTTTTGGGGTCACCTCACCGAGCCTTTGGACTTCACTGTTCCCTGTTGCAGGCCCAGGCTCGCACTCGCGGCCCTTTGCGGAAGCCAGCTACGGTGAGAGAGGAAGCCGCCTGGGGTCGGCGCGTCCTGCAGAGGGGCAGCGGCGGCGGCTGCTTGGCCTCCCCGGGCTCGGGGGCGGGGGAGAAGGGAGAAGGACGGGACCAGCACGGCCGGGGGAGGTCGCTGAGGCGGACCGCGCTTCAGCAGGCCCTTCTCAGGGCTGGGGGGGGGGTAGAGGGAGGTATTAATACTCATCACGAGTATTGTGTCATTTGGTGTTCACAACCGCCTTAGAAAGTAGGCGCTGTTATTGCCCCCATCTTAGGGATGAGGAAAAAGGAGGCAGGCAGATGAAGCGACTTGCCCGAGGTCTCCCAGCTGCTAAAGTGTCCTAGTCAGGGTTTGCTATCATAAAGGTGAGAAACCACAGCCTTTGCCTTCAGGGGGCTTCCATTTATTTTGGCGAGGGAGGGACGAGCGAAGGGGGTGAATGGGGAGGGGGCGGTACGGCAGAAAGATTGGCACAGGAATGAGTTCAGATCCCACTTCTGGAGCTTACTGCTTAGCTGACCTTGGGCAAACCACTTAACTTTACTGGGCATCAGTTTTCTCCCCTGTAAAATGAGGGAGTTGGTCTACATGACCTTGGAGATCCCGTCTAACTCCAAGTCTTTGTTTTTTGTTTTTGTTTTTTTTTTGGCTAGGCAGTGGGGTTAGGTGACTTGCCCAAGGTTGCACAACTAGTAAGTGTCAAGTGTCTGAGGCCAGATTGGAACTCAGGTCCTCCTGACTCTAAGGCTGGAGCTCTATCCACTGTGCCACCCAGCTTCCCCCAAGTCTTTGATTCTATGATTGACTTCTTTCACCTAATAATAATAATAATGGACATGTTATGTACATTATTTCATTTGTTGAGAAACAATGTAAGATGTCATCAAAAACATTTATGACCTGGAAAGGAGGTAGGCCCATCATGTAGCAATTATGACTAAAGATAGACTTCTAGTTGGATTTATGGAAGGATATATTTAAGAATCATAAAAGTTGAGATATCAAATGAATTATAATATGTGATAGTAGAGGGAATATCTAAATTGATCAAACAGGGTGTCTCATAATACTCCCAGTCTTTATCTCTCTTGGTTTGGAAGACCTGGGTTTTAATTCTTGTCCTACCATTTACTGTCCATATAGTATCCTTCGTGGCATGTTGTATCTGCCACCTCTTCCAGGAAGTCTTTCTAGACCCTACTGTTGTTATCATTGTCTCCTTCCTTCAATTGCCTTATATTTTGTAAATTTATCTCCCCAATAGAATAGAAGAATATATCCTCTTTGAAAGTAAGAACTACTTTTTGTTTTGCCTTTGCGTCCCTAGTTCCCAGGCTCTAGACTTGGACTTAGGAAGGCCTGGGCAAATCACTTAATCTCTCTGACTCAGTTTCTTTACCAGTAAAATTTTGGGGGGCCTTCACTTGGTGGTCTCTTCCAGCTTTAAATCTATGATTCCACGAAATTCTATGAATAAACATATGACCTTGGGCAAGTCACTTCTTTGGACCTCAGTTTCTTCATTTACATGAGGGGATTAGACTAAATGGTTGCTCTGGTCCCTTCCAGCTGTAAATCTGTGGTCCAGAGATCCCTTACCACCTGATCTTTTTTGTTGAAGGCACCGAAAGGCAAATGTTTAATTTATAAATTTAGAACTAGAAAAGATCTCAAGATCGTCAGATCCAGCCCCTTAATTTTACACTTGAGGTGCTGAGATATCTTAAGGTCACACAGGCCTGCTTTGAGCCCCCGTCCTTTAGCCTCAAATCCAGCATTTTTTCTACTGCACCTCTAAAGCTGTGTAAAAAAGCATAGGGAACTGAAGCTTAAGGTAAAAGAATCAATTTTGATAAATGGAATTTGTATTCCTGAAGTGTTTTTTTTTCCACAAATGACTGCTACCATTTGCTTTCAGGTTTCTGTACATTTAAGTAAATATAATTCCTGCCTTCCTAAGTTAAGATTGTGCATGGGCTCAGTTTGTTGGGAGGGCTAAGAGGTGGGTGGGCTGAAATGACACCAGGAATTGAAGTGAATTGAAGTTATATTATAGCCCTAACTCACAACTATGTCCTGTGAAGAACAGTTGAGGAATGAGAGACTTAGTGGGAGCATAACAGGTATCTGTGCTTTCTGAAAGATTGTCTTCTGGGAAGGATTAATTTATACTGTATGAAAATGCAGCATGTTATGGTGATAAGAATAATAAACTACTTGTTTTGTGACCTTGATGGAGTCACTGAGCCCTAGTTTCCCCATTGGTAATATTGGGAGGTGGAGGGGACTGGGGCAGAGATAATTGTTTAGGAAAAAAGCATTTTGTAGTCTGTAAAGCTCTGTGTCAGGTATATTGGCTCCAAAAGGTAGAACTCAGAATAGTATTTAAAAATATAGGGAACTAAATTGCAGCCTAGGTTAGGAGGAAAGAGGCAGGTTGATATACTAGAAATTTATGGACATTCTCTGCACTGAATAAATCATAGTTCCAGTCCAGTATTATAAGGAAAAACTTTTTTTTTTTAAAAAAAAACTCTATAGTAGTGGAATGAGCTTACTTCTTGAATAATGAGTTTCCTATCACCAATTTGGTAGGCACCTTGGTAGGCCCCCGGGGATGCAAATACAAAAACCCCTTCCCTCATGGAGCTTACATTCTATCAGGAGATGCAACATATACATATATAATATACATTCATACATATATATACATATATATTTTGTCCAGTGCACAGAGATTCCAGGCAATGGAGTGCTGCGGTAGGAGGAACAGAGAGAAGACTAGTTTGGAGGGTAGATTAGAGTTGGGGCTAGAGACACGAGACAAACCAATTTGGTTTTTATAATACTCCAGACTAGAGGTAACGGGAGCCTGGACCAAGGTGGTTAATATAGGAGTAAAAAGAAAGGATGTAAAAGTAGAAAATGACAAGATTTGATAACCGATTGGATATGTGAGATTCATCTGTTCAGTAAACATTTATTAAACGCCTACCGAATGTCAAGCACTGTGCTAAGTTCTGGGGATACAGAAAGGCAAAAACAGTCCACTCCTTCCAGGAGCTTACAATCTCACGGGGGAGCAAACGTGCAAAGAAATATATACAAATCAAGCAATATTATTAAAAGAGGGAAAACATTGGAATTAAGAGGGATCAGGGAAGGCTTCCTATAAGAGGTGGGATTTTAGTTGGGACTTAAAGGAAGCCACAGAGGTCAGTCATGAGAGTGGAGGAGGGAGAGCATTCCAGGCATGGGGGGACAGCCAGAGAGAATGTTGAGAGCTCAGAGATGGAGGATCTTGTTCATGGAACAGCCAGCAGGCCAGTGCCCCTTGATCTAAGAGTTTGTATCAGGGAATAAGGTGTAGAAAGACTGGACAGATTTGGGGGAGGTGGGGCTGAGGGTTGGTTATGATTGGCTTTGAGCATTTTAGAGACAATGGGAAGCCACCCAAGTTTATTAAATAGGGTGGTAACGTGAGCCAGACCTGTGCATTGTCAGAGGAAAGAAGGAGGCATATTGGAGAGATATTGTGAAGATGAAATGGACAGGCCTTGGACACAGCTTGAATATGAGAGGTAAGGGTAGGACCCAGAGGCTAGGTGAGTCCATGGGAGAGATAGTGAGGAATTCAAGATGACTCCTAGATTGTGGGACTGACCTTGCCTAAAGTTAAACAATGAAATGGGATTAAAACCAAATCTTTTGACTTCTATTTACAAGTCTTTTCACCACCCGATAATAACTACAATACTATATTTTAAGGATTCACAATTTTCGTCACTGTCGTACTCCTAATAATAAACTGTGGCTTCTTTATGCTTTAGTAGATTGTAGTGAGTGACAGTGGCTGAAGAAAACTTCCGGGGGCCAACCGTATGATGGTGTGTAACAATAGTGGCTGATAGGCTTTGCTCACACCACTATGAGGCAAGTGGTGTGATTATTACTGTTTTACAGAGACTTAGAGAAGTGCACCGACTTCCGGGTGGATACTGGAAGCTAGGTCTCCCAGCTCCAGATCAAGGGTTCATTCTGTTATACATCACTTTGTTGTCCTGATCAAGGGCAGGCAGAAGGTAATGGGAAAGTTTGCATTATACTCTGTCATAGCCAGCAGCAGCATATTCTCTAAGAGACAACGGGTATTTTGTTTCCAAGTGGGATTTTTCAGTATCGCAAGAGCTTTATTTAGAATTTCAAAAGAGAAGGGGGTGTTTGTTTTTGGCACTTGCTGCCTGTTACACCTGCCACTCCTTTCTCTTCTCTCCTCAGGGTTACCTCTGGCCTTTCCTTCCCCGAAATGCCTTGTGTTTGAAAATTACCCCTCCAGTCACCCCACCTCCACTATTAGGTTAACAAGCAATCTGATAAAAGTAATTAATACTAAAATGAGTGGCACTAGATGCAGGATTTATTTGCATTTTTAAAGTTGAACTTCTTTAATGAATCTCAGTGGTGGACTATCGAGACTGTCTTTCCCATTGTGATTTCCCAGCAGCCAAAAAAGTTATGATTATTTGTACTCTGAATAGAATATTTGAATGAAGGTCCCAAAGGACCTGATATTCACTGATATGAATGAATATATAAATGGAAAAATATTAAGAGCTTACTAGTGAGGGAACTCTGCTAAATTGGGGATACAAATACAAACAGGGAAGCGGAGCTTGCTTTGTGATTGGGGGGAAAACTACCGTCATTAGGAAAGTGGTGGCCAGAGAAAAGTGTTTTGTACAGGGAATAGTGAGGGCCAAATGATTGCTTAGTCTTTTCTAGCACTGGTAGTATTGATTTGATTACTGTTCTAGAGCTGGAGTGGAAAGGGGAGAGAGGATGGTTACCCTACCCTAGCAGGATGACGCGGAGGTGGCAGTGCAGTGGTGCTGGGCCTAAGGCCAGTGAGATATGGTAGAACACTCAGCACTCAGAATTCTGGGGGCATACAGGTGGGAGCTCAAGTGCCTGATTCTAGGTTGAAGCAGATGGAGAGCAAGCAGTACGGCACGGAGAGAGTTTTGGAAATGATATTTTTGTTTATTGTCCTCACCCCATGCCTGAAAACAGGAGGCACTCGACAGTTTAGAGCCGTAAAATGTCATATCTTACAGGAATCTTAAGAAAAGTGTCTAGGTTAATCCCCTGATTTTACAGTGAGGCGTCTGAGACCCAGAGAGGAGTGATTTGACCACGGTGATACAGTGAGTTGAGATCACTCTGTGAGTTTCTGACCTATGATACTTCCCTTATCAACTTACTTCTAAAAGGTATTAATTAATGTTAAGTCACAAAAATAACTAGGTTGTGTACCCATAACCTAAATAAAAACTAGGTAATAAACTGACCTTTCCCAAATAAAGTATTGTAATTTTAGATTGCTTTAGTAAAAATATTTTCAGAACAAGGAAAGTAATAATTGGATTTAGGATTGGAAAGGAATCTTAAGAGATTTTTTACATGTTTCATTTTATAAAGGAAGAAACTGAAGAGGTTAAGGTACTGACCTATGATACTTCCCTTATCAACTTACTTCTAAAAGGTATTAATTAATGTTAAGTCACAAAAATAACTAGGTTGTGTACCCATAACCTAAATAAAAACTAGGTAATAAACTGACCTTTCCCAAATAAAGTATTGTAATTTTAGATTGCTTTAGTAAAAATATTTTCAGAACAAGGAAAGTAATAATTGGATTTAGGATTGGAAAGGAATCTTAAGAGATTTTTTACATGTTTCATTTTATAAAGGAAGAAACTGAAGAGGTTAAGGTACTTGACCCAGATCATACAAGGATCACCAGAGTAGAGAACCCAAGTTCCCTCATTCCAAATCCAGGGCTCTTTCCATTAGGCCTTACTGTCCTTCCTGTACTCTCCCTGGTCAGCCCATAACCCAAAGTATTTTAAGCAGGCTTCATACCTCAGTTAAGGCTTAGACTAGACCTCAGTGACCCCTCCCTTCTGATTCTGGAATGCTGTGTGTAATTCTATGAAACAACAATGTAAGACTGCATATGATAAGTACCACTATGAATGATAGAGATATGAAGCACTATTGAAAATTCAGAGGAAGTAACAATGGCAGTGAGCAGGGAACCTTCCATGAAAAAGGGAGATCTCATGAAACCTGGAACTCATGAAAAAACAGGAAGGATTTGGAGTCCTGAAAGGGGAGAGGAGGGGGGCATGGCATTAGGGGGTGGGGACAGTGAGGAAAAATGGCCTAGAAGGCTCCATAAATATTTTTTGGACATATAATAATCTGAACTTTTAGTAGTGTGAAGTGCCTAAATTTACTGCTACTATTAATTTTCAGATGTTACAGTACTTTTTGAAAAATGTTTGGACTCCACTGAAGCCCTACTATACCAAGGTTTACCAGGAGGTCTGGGTAGGAGTGGCTGTGATGGGGTACGTTGTTTACAAAATCAGAAGTGCAGGTAAGTTGCATTATGTTTGGTTCTTGGGAGATGGGAAGGGAGAAAAAGGGTTGGGGAAAAAGGATTCTTGTAGGGAGTCAGGGATTGGCATAACTAATTCCCATTCAAACTTGATTTTAGTAATTTGTTTCAGGTTAAATAGGGGTATATTTAGCATACTAGACAGCTGTATCTGTCTTAAATATTATGTTAGAAGACATTTTTGCTTTAAATTATTTGATATGCCTAATTGGGAGCAAGGAAGACATAAACCTTTTTAAAAACAAGATTTGGAAAGCATTGTTAATAGCTTTTCTGGTTTTCCTGTTTTGGAGCCCTTTTGAAAAAACCGGTAATTTTATGTATTGCATTAGGTAATGAAGAGCTCAACTAGGTATTGCTCAAAATACTTCTTGAGTGGTATGTCTTCTAAGGCATTAAAGCATGTGACAGTTTGTTACTTATTTGGAAGTAATGAATAAAGATATTAGCTTATAACACACTAATAACATGTTGTTCTAATTTTTAGATAAAAAAAGCAAAGCTTTGAAAGGTAAGTCTTTTGGGGAAGGGTGTGAGATAAGAATGGGTTCCTTTTCTTAAAATAACATTTTTTATGCTGTAGAAGCAAAAGTTTTCAAAAGTGTATGAAATACAAAGGGAATATTTCAGAATATCATATTTAAAGTATACATGTAGTTACAGTAAAGTAGAATCCTCAAAGCAATATTTGCTGTTTTATGTCCTAAATATTTTCTTTGAAATTGTCAAAGAAGGTTATATAGTAATTTGGTATCCAAAATCTTTGATAATTTGATAGGAGTTGGACTTGGTGGTGAAATTACACTCATTTGATTAGAACCAGGTTCTGAATATTTTCTTCTTTCCCGTTTTAATTTCCCAACAGCCAAAAAAAGTTATGATTGTTTGAACTCTGAACAGAATATTTGTTTTCATAGAAAATGAGAAACTTTGCAGAGGAGCTAGATAAATTGAAGTGGTTTTACTTGGTGTCAGTTATGACTGCTTCATTACCCTATCTCACATAGATAAATAAATGTATATGGAAATAAATTTTTTTTTTAAAAAAACTTTCCATAATTTCGAAATTAATGTAAAACTTGCTTTTTCTAATAGGCAATTAACATTTATATTTCCTGTTACTTTTATCTTTACTTCCTTTACTAGCAAATTGCATTCTATTTTGTTTGTATTATTTTCTAAATTACAGTGCAATTTCTACTGTATTTTTGTTTCCAAAGGTTCAGATTCAGCTGCTTCTGCTCGTGAACATCATTAACTGTATTTACCTTAGTATTGTGCATAATGTGAAACATCAGGCTGGCTGTAAATTTGGGTGTTTGATGATAGAAGAAGGAATGCGAGGATTGCCCATGTTAACTCTTAGGCTTTTGTTCATACAGTGAAATAAAGTCATATATATACAAGGAAGTTATTGTGTTCCAATTCAATTAAAATATCATCCCCTTTTTCTTTATCTGGTTCTCACAACTTTGATCTATGTGTACATTGCAGATTCAGCATTTGTTTTGTAATGTATCTGGTGGATTACTTGTAATTACCTCTAAAATAAAATGATTAAAATTTTTGAAACTATTAAATTTTTTAAAGTTTAGAGGAGCTGAGTGATGTCAATAAATATCTCCACTTGCTTAAAATTGTGGCAGGATTCAACCCAGGACTCAATAATTGAGTTTCTAATAAGGTTTAGTCTTAAAGATTTGAGGAAGGAGAGAAATTTCTCAGAAAATATGTTTTAACTAGCCACACAGCAAACAAAAAACGTGAACCCCACAATCTTATTTCCCATAATGAATTCTCTCTCTCTTCCACCTTATCCCCCCATACACACATACATATGTTTTATAATTTGTTTAATTAAGACTTTAGCTAATATGGGAGAAATTTAAATGTTGGAGTGGAAATAAGCATTCACTATGTGATCCAGGATTACAAGATTATTTTATTCCTTTGTACTTGAAAGTTTCCATGTAGCTCTGGTCTTTTCATAAGGAATACTTGGAAATCCTCCTTCATTAAGGGTCCATTTTCCCCCCTGTAGCATTATACTCAGTTTTGCTGGATAAATGCTTTTTGGCTTTAAGCCCATATCCTTTAACTTCTGGAATATATATTCCAAGTTCTCTGCTGCTTTATACAATACTTATATTGAAGAGCAAGGAAATATATGAGCTGCTTTATAGTGGTTGCTATATTGTGTGTGACTCTGCTTCAGTTCTTTCTCTCTCCTTGCAGTATTTTATCTTTGATCTGGAAGCCCTTGATTTTGGCTATGATGTTCCTGGGAATTTTTATTTTGAGGTTTCTTTCTGGAGGTTACCATTGGATTCTTTCTCCATCTTGACCTTTGATTCTAAGAGATCTGGGCAATTTTCTTTTGGGATTTCTGGAAATAAAATATATAGGCTCTTTTTTGGTTGTGGTGCTCAGAGAGTCCAAAGATTCTTGCCTTTCCTCCACCATCTTGGCTCTGCCTCTGAGTCCAGAGATCCTTAAATTTTTTCCTTGATCTGTTTTCCAAGTTGGTTGTTTTTGCCATGAGGTACATTTTTTGCTATTTTTATTGTTTTTAATTCTTGTTATTTCATGGAGTCTTTGGCTTGTTCGGTCCATTCAGATTTTCAGAGAGTTGTTGTTTGGGCAAGGTTTTGTACCTCTTGTGCCAAGCTGTAATTCCCTTTCCAGTTCTTACATAACTCATTTCTTTTCCAGTTCTTTCCTCAAGCACTCTCATTTATAAAAATGTTTTAAACTTTTCAAACTCTTGCTTCATCTCTTAAAGGAATTCTGTTGATTTTGTGCCCAAGCTGTGGTTTGGTATTTTTTTATTAGTTTTATTTATTTTTAGTTTTCAACATTCACTTCCACAAGATTTTGAGTTCCAAATTTTGTCCCCACCTCGTCCCTTCCCCCACCCCAAGACGGCATGCATTCTGAATACCCCTTCCCTTAATCTCCCCCTCCTTCTCCTATCCCTTCCCCTTCTATTTTCCTATAGAGCATGATAGATTTCTACATCTCATTGCCAGTGTATCTTATTTCCCAGTTGCATGTGAAAACATTTTTTAACATTTGTTTTTAAAACTTTGGGTTCCAAATTTTCTCCCTCCCTCCCCACCCAACCCTCATTGAGAAGGCAAGCAACTCGATACAGGTTGTACATGTGTAGTCATGTTGTGAAAAATTGTATTTCCCATCATCATATCCTGCCCCCTGTTTATTCTGTGCTCTCTTTTAACCCTGTCGCTCTTCAGAAGTGTTTGCTTCTGATTACTCCGTCACCCAATCTGCCCTCCTCTCTATCATTCACCCCGTCTCATCCCCTTCCCTCCTATTTTCTGGTAGGGTAAGATAGATTCCATACTCGAGTGTATGTTATTCCCTTCTTAAGCCAAATCGAATGAAAATAAGATTCACTCGTTCCTTCTCATCTTCCTCCACTTCCCCTCCATTGTAAAAGCCTTTTCTGTTTTATGTGAGATAATTTACCCCATTCTACCTCTCCCTCTCTCCTCCCAGTATAGTCCTTTCACCCCTTAATTTTATTCTCTAGATATCACTCATTCATCTTCAATTCACCCTGTGCCCTCTATTCATATAATTTTTTTCCCTCCAACTGCCGTAATGCTGACAAAGGTCTCGTGAGTTACAAATACCATCTTTCCATGCAGGAATGTAAATTAATGCTTGTAGATGTCTTAGAGTCATTTTAATTTTGTGTTTTGTGTCTTGGGCATCCCTACCACTATAATAGCTCATTATATTGGGATCTGGGGTGAATCTGAGACCTTGGGCCAAGTGTCTTCCTGAGTTCTGCCTTCTCTGCACTCTGTGCCCGATCCATCTCTAGTGTCCAGAGACCTCCCAGTACCAAGCTGGACTTGATGAAGGATGCACTGTGACCTTTTCTGGATTTCCTCACCAGATTTTAGTCTGATGCATATTCTAGCTGTATGAGAAGTTGCTTGAGAGGAACTCATTGCATTGCTTCCTATCATTCCACAATCTTGGCTTCACCTCTCCCTATAGCAACTTTTAGTATCCATGACAATTGCCCGCCTCTTCTGCCAAGACAAGGAAAATGTGACTCCTTGATCCTCTGAAACCAACATGAGCCACTGCATTTAATTTGAATTTAATTGTCTTAATTTATATTATTGTAGTCATATTTTTCCCTGGTTCTGCTTTCTTTGTTCCATGTCAGTCTCTGCAAATCTTCTGATCAGTCAACAAGTGTTAAGCACCTACTATGTGTCAGGGATGATGCTAGGCACAGGAGATATAAATACCACAATGAGACAGTTCTTAACAGCTTACGTTACCTTTTCTGATGTTTCTTTGAACACTCTTTTTTTAAAAAAATTTTTTAAATTTATTTTGGTTTATCAACAATCACTTCCACAAGTTTTTGAGTTTTAAATTTTTCTCCCCTTCCCTCCCCAAAACGGCACTCAATCTGATATGGGCTATACATATACATTCCTATTAAACATATTTTCACATTGGTCGTGTTGTAAGGAAGAATTAGAACCAACAGGAGGAACCAGAAGAAAGAGGAAACAAAACTCAACAGAAGAAGAAACATAGCAAATAGGATGCTTCGATCTGCATTAAAACTCCATAGTTCTTTCTTTAGATGTGGATAGCATTTTCCGTCATGAGACTTTTGGAGATGTCTTAGATCCTTGCATTGCTGAGACGGGCCCAGTTTATCAAAGTTAGTCATTGTACTACGTGGCTGTTACTGTGTACAATGTTCTGGTTCTGCTCACTTCACTCAGCATCAGTCCATATAAGTCTTTCCAGAGTTTCTGAAGTTCACTTGCTCATCGTTTCTTATAGCACAATAGTATTCTGTTACATTCATATACCACAACTTATTCAGCCATTCCCCAGTTAATGGGCATCCCCTCAATTTCCAATTCTTTGCCACCACAGAAAGTTGCTATAGATATTTTTGTGCTTGTGGGTCCTTTTCCCATTTTTACTATCTCTTTGGGATATAGCCCTAGAAGTGCTATTGCTGGGTCAAAGGGTATGCACATTTTTATAGCCCTTTGGACATAGTTCCAAATTGCTTTCCAAGATGGTTGTGAACTCTTTCTTGCAGTTCAATACTATGTTCTTATGGGGCAGCTAGGTGGCGCAGTGGATAGAGCACCAGACCTGAAGTCAGGAGGACCTGAGTTCAAATGTGGCCTCAGACCAAACACTTGACACTTACTAGCTGTGTGACCCTGGGCAAGTCATTTAACCCCAATTGCCTAAAAACCAAAAGAGAAAAAATGTTCTTACTCACCTACCCCACAGTTTGTTCATGTATTCTCCTGTCAACAGGACACTTACTATTTTGCCCTCTGGTGATAAGGTAGTTTTTGGACAATAGTCTGTCGAGGTCTTCTGCCCAAAGCACTTTTAGTTTGGTATAACCTGCCATAACTTGTACTTTCAAGAACTTCTCTGCCACGGTGAGGCGTGTAAACAGAATGCTAACTAGGTATAGTTATACTTTCCACATTGAGGGGGGTGAGGGGCTCAGTGCCCTGGCAGTCTGGAAAATCTGCTTAGAATTTTTTGGCCCTCACTTCATACCAAAGAAGAAGTCTGAATTATTATGGCATTAAAAATAACATATATCGATATTATACAATGCTATAATATATTTTTTGTATTTCTGAGTTTCTAAACATTTTCTGTCATCTGCTGGCCTTTGTGTGCTGGTTGTCTGCAGCTTCTGCAAACCTCCAAAAAAACCTCTCCTTAAATTTCTTATGCTGACTGGTAATAAATCAAAACCACCATGGGGAAAGTCACAATGTAGAAGGGATAACTATGATGTTTATAACTCTTACAAAAATCTACCCTTTATTCCAACTGTGCATTTTCTATTCATTAATATTTAGTGTATTGCAGTAGTGTGCTATCTTAGACATCAAGACTTGTATCAAAGAAAGTATGTTACGTGTTTGTTTTTCTTTGAGGAAATGACCAAAATACTTATAATTGTCTCCCTAAACTAAAAGGCGAGTTTATGGAACAAGTCCACCTCATTTTGAGCAGGGTAGCACCTTGGTTGAAGATCAGAATTGTATCTAGTTTTGTTGGAAATAAAAATAGAGATCAGCAGTGAGAGAAGGAAGGGCAAATGGAACATGCCACTTGACCACTTGAACTGCCTTCCTCTCTTTGCCGTGGAGAAGAATCTTACAGATTTTAGAGAATCTCTAGCTTCAGGAGAGGAGGAAAAGAGACCAGGAAGAATAAGAATGACCTAGAGGCAGACTCAGCAAAGCTAGCCTCCTTATGGGAGGGCTCAGAATCAGTACATTAGGTTTTAGAAGAATCTTCAAAATCTCCCTCCAGTCCAACCCCAGCCCAAAGAATTAAAGTGACTTGTTGAAGTCAGTGGTAGAGCTGGGACCTGAATCTTTAGACTCTAGGATCAGTGATCTTATCTCATCCCCCTCACCCCTAAAAGATTCCTGCCCCACCCCACCCACCCTACACTGACTTTCAACTTCATTTATTAATAAACTTCCTGAAATTCCACCAATTAAAAGCCTAAAA